AACACTGACCGTGTTCAGAGATCAGTCTTAAGTAAAACCCATTCACTCAATTTTAGGGAGTCAGTTAAACGTGAAAGTTAAGTGGTACTTTTTTGGATAAGATATTTTATTTCACGTTATCAAACAGATTAACTTAGATAAGCTCTGAATTCATTAAGTTTAAGTGCTTAATTGCATTATCAAACAGAGCCTTAGTAAGTGGTGTTACCAAGGAAATTGTTTACTTTCTCCATTTCAAATTGTAAGTCACTTTAGACTATGCACGTAAATTAAGGAGACAATCATCCAACATTGGAACTATAATTAAGACTAAAAGAAAATATATTGACATCATTCATTGAGGATAAAGTTAAAAAAATAGTCATTAATTTGCCTAAAATTTGTAAAACGACTTACATTTTGAAAAATCTCTCTAAACATAAAACGACCTATAAATTGAAATGGAAGGAGTAGTAAGTATCGAACCCTATATCCTACAAAAACTATGATTTGAAGTATCATCATCTAAGTGTTTTTTTCTTTCATATTTTGTTATTATTAATTAATTAATTTTATAATTAGACATTATTTTTACATTCCTAACGAATAGAATCCTTACATTTTTAATAAATATGTTTTTTACATTATCAAATAAAGAAAAACCGACACTAGTAAATACGATAGGCGGGAAAACAAAACATCCTCGGAAAATAATATCTTCTGCGTGGCCCATGCATCTGAGGTCCCAAATCAAGCAAGAAGTGGTCCAGAAAATAGTCGGAATTCAATCAAAATCATCTCTGAATTTTCAAAATACAAAGGTCTCCCTTATTTGTTTTTATTAGTTTTTACTTTCGTAGAGAAGTCAAAACTTGTCGGGCATGTTGCCAATGCCTCCATAGCTACAATCTTCCATTTCAAAAAATTTTGTAAATTATTACTCTCTTATTTTTAGTTCGTAATTTTCAAACTACGGTTTATAAATATGATCTGGTAAAATAATCCATAGAAACTAGAGAGTAGACCACGAATCAATAACTTGGAATCTAACTCAAACTGAAAAGAGTTTAACCTAGTAAGTTCTGACTTAATCTTACTACTTATTAAACGTTTCAAATTACTCTACAATGAGGGATTTTCAGGATCTTCTTATAACCTTCAAATATATTTCCTCTGCCCTAAAACGATTTTTTACTTTTCATTCAAAAAATATTAACAAGTATTCCATAATTTGTGCTCCTTCCTCATAAATAGAGTATTACATAAAATATAAAACGACACACGAAGTGATGAGATTGAAAAATTCTGGGTCGGCAATTTGGGATATAAAACTGAGAGTTTTTCATCAAAATATATTTTTTTTAAACTAGACTGGACGGAAGTAATTTTCTTTTTTTTTTTTAGTGTGGACAAAAATAATACTTTCGGATTTGCTAAATTCAAATGTAGGTAGATTCGAATTTGGCAAATCTGAATGATGTGTATCTATCCTTGAAGTATTATTTTGGTTAGATTTGGACTTTTAAATTTCTGAAATCCGACTTTTTTGTATTAATTGTATTTTTGGAATTGACAAATCCGAGAGAACTACTTTTGTCTAAAACAAAAAGAGAAAATTGTTGTTTGTCCATATTTATTTTATTTAATTTTTTTTATCAGGCTGGAAGGCGGCCAAGAAAAATGATTTGCGCCCGAAATTATTCATAAAGAAATAAAGTAATTCGCAATATTAATACTTTATTATACAGTTGCTCAGGTTATGCTGAATTTCTAATTAAGTTTTAAGAGGAGGAGCATAGGATAGTTATTGGTTTTTGTAAGTCAAATAAAGGTTGTCTTGCTCTCCTGTTTTATTATATCGACCTATTATAGATTCATAAAAAAAGATTCATAAAAAATGGACTAATAATATAGAACAGGAAAAAAAATTCGTAAACAAGGTATCCAAACTCATTGAGAGGGTCCTACCGGAAGAGTTTGGTGAGATTCCAGATTTCGGCAAAGAGAAAACGTCTAAAAATGTGAAGGCATTGAACTTTAAGGTTTGACAATATTCCTTATCGATAAGAAAGAGCTGTCCTAACTTCAAACTCATTTAACGTTATAAAACTACTGTATTATTTACTCCCTCCGTCTCATAATTATTGTCCAATTTGGATTTTCATTTTTAGTTTAAATTGTACTAAAAATGAAATCTCAAACTGGATAATAATTTTGGTACAGATGAAATATATATTTTTACTTCTCACATAAGAGGAAGAGAAAAAGAATAATCGAGGATTTTACCTCTTGGTTTCTGATAGAGGAGAGAACAAACAAATTATCTCAATGTGTATACATTGAACGAAAGGATTCTTACTTGTAATCTCCCACTTGAAAGGAATTATTGATTGCTTAAGGAATGTAAAATAGTAAGAGAAAATAGAATTAATCCAAAATGAAAACTGTAATATAAGAATAACTAAGTAATGGGGATGGAGCTGATAACTTTTAATACGTGACAGTGATTTGGAATATAATCTTTATGTACAGTTTCATATGATTTTATAGTTTCATAAAAGTATCACTATAATTAATCATGCATTATATTAATCCAGATCATATGCGCAGCCCCTGATATCATGTTTTATTTTTACACCGCATCTGAAATACAGTTAATAATTTACTGATTAGGCTCAAAGTTGTATATATACTCCAATTTCTTATTACAAAAACAGCGGAACTTAAAAATGGACACATCACATTCAGATTAATTCTCATTTAACACTGAAAAACTTGTATTAGCGAAAAGATTCTCTATACACATGCTCGAAACATAGGAACTCAGTTTGAGACGAATGAATTACCACTTAACTCCAATAATTATTCATTTTTGATACGTACGTCAGGAAGAACTCAACTAAGATAATTGGTTTCAATAAAATTGTAGGCTATTATGTTACGCAAGCTTTTACTATTAGATTTGTGCTGTCAAATTATTGTCCTAGCTCCTAGCTAAGTTCCTAAACAAATAAATACAACTGACTTTTTCTGGTTAGCTCCGACCTGCCTGCATATGACAATTTGACAAATTTTGACCGGCTTCAAGCAGGGAAAATATTAAACAATGAAATAATTGAACAGAAGAAGAACACCGGCAGTATTTCCCATGTGCCCCCATCCCCCATTCCGTTGACAAAATCAAAAAACACCGAAACACACAAGCAATAACGATGTGGAAACGAACTAACATCCAAAAATTAGGTTATTAAGCACATTTTTATGTAAGTAACTTACTGCATCTAGCTTAGGTGTGCAGTTAGTTCCTTAAGGGATACTCCAAACCTATTCTGGTATTGTCCCATAGAAATGGTACAACATATATTCTCTAAAAGTGCATAATTATTCATCCTATAGATATAGGATCAAATTTAGCCCTTCCTACGAGCTATTTGAGAATTGGTCGGAGAGATTGGAGGCTACATATCAAGCATGTCTTTTGAGAAACTAAACTTTGTAGAAAACTGATTAGAGGTTTTAATTTTTATAGCAACTCTATTGATCCTACACATATTACATGCATTATTTTCAAAACATAAACAACTTTGTCGTAAACTATTACTTTGCATAATTTGTAGCGCAACTCCATCAGCCATCAGGGGCTTGACAATTGACTGCTATGTCACACATTCCCGAAATGGCGAAATGTATTGATTTTGTATTTCTGGGCTGTACTGGGAAAAAAAAAAACAGAAGGAGAAAAAGACACTTTTGCCACGGGGAAACAAGAAATACTGGTGTTAGTCCACGAACTACATTTATGATATCCAATCGAGCCAAAATCAGACTGCATAGAACCCTTTCTCCTTACATTTAACTATCCCATTTGCCCTTTTCCAAAAAAAAAATAAAAAAATCCCATTGCATGACCGATTATATGTGAATTTAATTAATTGCTAACAATGAAACAATTTTAATCTTTTTCTTTTTACTTAAAAAACGTGACATATGCCCGATATGGATGGTATAAGTTTTAAACTTTGGCCAAACGTCACAATTTTTTTTTATTATTATTATTTGCAGCATGTCAACCATGAATAGTTCTCTTCGTTGAATTATAGACACAAACGTTACAACTTTAATTCAACTAACCAACATTACAAATTGTAACCGAACTAAATTGTGCGTAAACTTTTTCTGATAAGAGGGATTAAACTAAATGATTCATCTAGACTACGGGACCATATTATCATTTTGATCACCACAAAAAAAACCTTTTAAACTCAAAAATCAAAATTACAGGACCAAATAATCATTTTCTTTTCTCCCGACAGATGAGAGTACTAATAATACTATGTATATAGTTTAATTATTTAGTTGCTAGCAATTCACAAAAAAGGACAAACTAAAGAGAGCTTGATACAGAAGAAAATTGGTATTTTATTTAGAAAAATAAAAGCAGAGAATAAATTAATGGAGTGAAGGACTACATTTTTTATTTCTTCTATAAACTGAATACATCAAATGCCTTTTTATAAGGCTTAGTTTACAAATATGATAATTATGTAAATTTACTAATTTTATTTAAGTGATAAAGATAAGTAATTCAGTTGAAATAATCAACTAGATGAAACTAATTTAAGACTTCTAATTCCTTTGTGTTTTATCTCTTAACAAATACCACCCCTCTATCATGGAGATCAACGCGCTTTTGTACTGCTAGCCATGCAAGTTGACTTCCCCTCATTCTCATCACCACCTCAAACTCACATTGTTTTTTCTTCAATTCCCCATTTCTAACAGAAACAGAACTTAACTAGGGACGACCCTATACTCCCATTTTTGTCAATTTCTTCATTCTCCTTTCTCCATCAATCATATCCATGAGAAAATCCTTTGTCTATATAAGCCTTGAACCTAACTAGCCATCATCCAATTTCACACAACATTAAACCAAAACCTTAATTCCACATCCTTTTTTTCCTTTAACCATTTCTTTCATATGGTCGTTTTTGTCTTTACATTGTAACAAAATTTTAACAATGGTATGGTACCGCTTTACCACCCTGTCCGGCATTACTCTCATTATTCTCCTCTCCGCCGTGGCCGTCGTCACCGGCAGCCCTTGTGAATCCACTCCCGACCCAATCTTCTGCCAATCCTTCATCTCATCAAACGACAGCGCAAGTTCCTCCGGCGATGTCTTCGACTACACCCGATTCTACGTCAAGAAATCCATGCGCTCCGCCGAGAAGTTCTTGTCTCTCATCGAAAAGAACCTCCGGAAATCCAAATACTTGACTCCCACCGCCATCCGCGCGCTGGAAGACTGCAAATTGATGGCGCAATTAAACATCGATTTCCTGACGAATTCGTTCCAAGTGGTGGGCAATACATCCAAAGTCCTCACATCGTTGAAAGCCGAGGATGTCTTAACTCTTCTCAGCGCCATTTTAACAAACGTTGACACATGTAGACAGGGTCTTAGAGACTCTTCCGACACATGGAGTGTCAGAAACGACATCGTGGCCCCGCTCTCCACGGACACGAAGCTCTTCCGTCTTTCTCTAGCCCTCTTCACCAAAGGGTGGGTCCCGAAGAAGAAGAAGATCCGTCCCCCTCGTCCTCAGCCGCCGCCGCCGTTTCCAAAACCGTTCGAATTCACCGACGGCCAGATTCCGATGAGAATGTCGGAGAATCACCGGCGGGTTTATGAGGTCGTCAGCAACAGGAAGCTTCTCCAGAGTAGTAATGATAATAATAATAATAATAATAATAATACTAATACTAATAATAGTACTGATACTTCCTCTTCGGGCGGAAGCGGCAGTGGGACCGACGCCGACGCTGTTCTGATTAAGGAGATTGTGATTGTGAGTCAGGACGGAACCGGGAATTACACCACCGTGAGCGCCGCCCTGGCCGAGGCGCCGAAATATTCCGACGGATCAGATGGGTACTACTTGATTTACGTGACGGCGGGGGTATACGAGGAATACATTTCCATTGGGAAGAGCCAGAAATATTTGATGATGGTGGGAGATGGGATCAACCGGACCATTATTACTGGGAATCACAGCTTCGTAGATGGCTGGACGACTTTCAATTCTTCCACATTTGGTATGTATCAATCATCCTACATTCTCACTATCATTAATTCTTGCTCGAGTTTCAATTTTTTTTAAAGTGTTCCATCGTAGTAAAATCAAAATTTTTGACTATACAGTTAGGCTAAGAATCTCCTACACCAAAAATCGCTACATCGTGTTTTGACACACGTCCATTTAAATATTATTGTATCTAACTTTTCTTTTTTACAAAGGGAAAAAATAAAAATAAAAATTGGTATATCAGGTACTGTGTTGAGATAAAGCAAAAAAGAATTAGAAGTCTTTCATCTAGTTAGTTATTTCAAGTGAATTACTTAGAGATAAAGCAAAAAAGAATAAAAGTGTTAGATTAGTTTCATCTAGTTGGTTATTCCAAGTGAATTACTTATCTTTATCACTTAAATAAAATTAGTTAATTTACATAATTATCATATTAAAGAGTCCCAATGTGTTGGCCAATTAGTTTTGAGGTGGAATCCCATGGGCTTCTGTATGGGATAAGAGCCAGCCTGCCGACATTCGGACTCCAAAAAGCCCAACAAAAAAAAAAAAGGCTGAGACGTGAGGCGGTGCCTGGGCTAAAAAAAATAGGACAAGCCCAACTTAAAAAATACGTTGGGCTTGCGGGGGAGTATTAAAGAATCCCAATCCCACATTGGTGTTGGGACACTCTGAGTATCAATATATAAGCTTAATGGACTACTCCCCTCATTGCCAATTGGTTTTGAGGTGAAATCCCATCCCATAGGCTTCTGTACCTGGTACCCGACTAATAGTGAGTTTGGTAAAAAGAAATTATGTTGAACCATTTTAAGTCGTGCGTCAAAATTCTGATAAGCGACATAAGAAATGGTGTGGAGTTATGGCGTACAAGATCTTTTGTCATAAAATTAGCATAGTTAACTAGAAAAATTTGATAGAATTACTAGATCAGTAAAATACACAGCAATACTATTTCACTTAATTAAACCTGATTGAGTATTACTTCTGTCAAATCATGTGCAATCTACGTGGAATTTTTAGTGTGAATTGAAATTTGAAGCACATGCACTGATTAACGCGCTATACTAGCTGCATATTGATGATTTCCATGTGATTTCTTTGCAGCGGTGGTTGGTCAAGGATTCATCGGGGTCAACTTCACGGTCCGGAACACCGCCGGAGCGATCAAGCACCAAGCCGTGGCACTCCGTAACGGCGCCGACTTGTCCATATTCTACAGTTGCAGCTTCGAAGGCTACCAAGACACGCTGTACGTCCATTCCCTCCGTCAATTCTACCGTGATTGCGACGTCTACGGCACCGTCGATTTCATCTTCGGCAACGCCGCCGCCGTCTTCCAGAACTGCAACCTGTACCCCCGGCTCCCGTTGGACAACCAGTTCAACGCGATCACCGCGCAGGGTCGGACCGACCCGAACCAGAACACCGGGATCTCGATCCAGAATTGCTCGATTATCGCCACCGACGAGTTGAAATCGAGCAATCTCAGCCTTAAGACGTTCTTGGGCCGGCCGTGGAAGCTGTATTCGAGGACCATTTACATGGAATCTTACATTGACGGGTCGGTTGATCCAGCGGGTTGGCGGGAATGGAACGGTGATTTAGGACTTAATACGACGTATTATGCTGAGTTTAACAATAGGGGACCCGGAGCTCATACAAGTGGAAGGGTAAATTGGATTGGTTACCACATTATTAACTCCACGGACGCTTTGAATTTTACCGTCAGTAATTTTCTGCTTGGGGAGGATTGGATATGGCAGACTGGAATTCCTTATGCCAGTGGGTTGCTCACTTCTTCTTCCACTTAATCAATTCTGTATCAAATTGGTATTTGATTTTTTTTTTTTAATTGATATTCATTTTTTTTTGTAGATTTGTTTTGATATACAGAAAAAAGATGTGTCAAATGTATTAATTGAACAGCGCATGAACAAAACAACATTGTAAAACTCGATCCTCGAGTCGAGGCTACCTTTTGGGTTTGGAGCTTCGACAAGATTTATAATTGTTTAATACATACTATAATTCATTCTTTTTAATCTCTCAAGTTACTTTGTTTTCATTGGGGTTCACAAATTAATATACCTTTTCTTTGGTCAACTTTCTAGAGGGGTGTATATATTGCCACGTAGGAAGTGCATGTGGAAGGCGAACATGCAAGTTGAAAGAAATTGTTGAATATAATTGGTCTACATATTCATACTAAAATTTCAAACTAACTGAAAGAATTTAGGTGTGCCTCTAATAATTAGAGAAAGTTGTCGTCACATTTAGTTGGATCGGATGAAATTTCCCAGTAAGTATTTTGCCGTAAATTAAAAAGAAAGAACGAGAACAAATATAAAAAGCAACTAAAGAAAGAACTAATGATAGAGTGAGGTGTATTTCATTCATTTGACTTGTTCATGTAATACAAAGATACTATATTTACAATGCTAACTTGGACTATAATAATGAGTTCAGATGATATACACACACAGTATGCTAGCTATAACCTTACGTGGACATCCAATTTTCACAATTTACACAACCTTCTAATCTTATTTGAAAAACGTTTTTGATAACTTGAATCATAAGTAAATATTTTGATCAACGAAGATAAAATTATTCATAGGTGTCCTCGTCGTGTAAGCATGAGTATGAACTTGATGAAAGAATGTTAAACCATTTCATTTCACAAGATTCACTAGAAAATAAGAAGGGATGAAGGAATTTTGTTATCTATTTTACTAGATCATGTATTTCTAATAATTTACCACTACAAATTGTAAATTTATGAGATGTTGCTAAACAATTTTTTTTTAATATTGCAGGTTATCTACCGTCGTGTTGAAGGGGGGCTTTTTCCCCTTTAGCACCGTGCAGCACCTTTTAACACCTATATACGATGAAGAACTTGTGCCAAACTCCTTGTAGTAGATAGGTCTTTGTCGTTCTTGTAAATAGTAGAAGTAGAAGTAGAATGGCGTTCTTGTAATTTTCTTTGAGGGAAACTTTTCACTATTCTTATCACTAGATGATTTTCTTTTTTGACTACCTTGAGGGGGAATAGCGAACTAGAATCTAAGCAAGTGAACGGGTTTCCCTCTCCCCTGGTGCACATTGTTTTCCTTGTAGTCTTTCCCGCTTTCGTTAATGAAAAACAAGATATTGCTTACAAGTTGTCTGAGCCTTTGTATTTGAAGTGCAGTAAAGTATTGCCTCGTGCTCCTCGGTCCACTACTAATTTAGTCGATAACGTATTTCTAATAATTTACACTACTAATTATAAATTTACGAGATATCGTTTAACATTATTTTTATATTACAAGGTATTTACCGTCGGTAACAGTGACTATTTGTACTGCTCATAGTAAATATTTCGATGGATGAAAGAATTAGCCAAAAGATTCAAAATTACCCCGTATCCTGACTTATAGTTAAGGATGCAATAGTCTTTATCACTCTACCATAACCTTGTTATTACTTAACATTTTTTAAAGGTCTTTGATATGACTTCTATAGATATGAAAAATGCTCTTGTGTAATCACACATATCTGAGTTGTTATTTGATAAAATTCTTTCTATTTCGAAATTATTCTTTTGATGTTAAAAATAAATATTCAAAGATAATGTTTTCGGAAAATAATTTAGAGAGATACCTGATCTACAAAACTAACATAGACGGTAAAGATCATTTACGCATGAGTTTTAAAGATATACACGTACATTTAAAATATACAGTGACCTACATGGTCCGCTAATCATTACCTGGACCATCGACATCCAATTTACACAAATGTTTCACAACCTTCAAATCTTAGTAGAAAAAGTTGTTAATACTTCAAGTACTCGCTCCGTCCCAAAACTATTGTCTAGTTTGAATTTTTCATTTTTAATTTAAATTATAAAAAAAGTGAAATATCAAAATGGACAATAATTTTGAGAACAGAGGAGTAAATATATATATATATATATATTTTTAAAAACTTGATGGTAATGAAAATTCCGGGGGAGGGTGGGGGTTGTTCCTCTTAAAGCATAACAATGAATCTGATGTATGATTGGGTTTCACAAGATTTCGTGCAAAATAGGAATAGCTTCAATGGGGAATTTTTTTGCCTAAGGCTATCTGGTTATATAATGTACAAAAAGACAACAACAAATGCCTCAATATTAACTACATGATCAAAGGGCATCTGTAATGCATAACACACATAATCAATTTCGATGGTACGTACTAAAACTAACTAATTATAATTACAATTTCTTAAGTATTTCACTCGAACAAGCATATGCAATCAACAATATATCAGCCAAGCCCGAACATTGGACATCGATTCAACTCCCTTTAAAGCCTTCGGCAACGTATATTTTGCAAATCGTTCTCTCTTCTATGAATGCTTAGATGTTTCTCTAATGAAACATTTGAGAAATTAACCAGCTTCTCATGAACCACTTGATTCGATAACTATCTCTACTATTGTAAACTATTTACTCCTTCATCCCCGCAAATCAACAACAAACATATCCATGTGGATTCCTAGCATCAAAATTTTTAACTTCCTTTTTTAACTACAAGGTCAATTCTTTTGCTCAAGTTTAAGTGATAGGTGAAGCGACTAACCAATTGATTTGAAATTGTTACATACTGATACTGAAGACTAAATTCGAAACATCCCGATCTTAATTTATTAAAGATTGGATGAATTCATTGTGCGCAATTACAACCATTTTAGTTAACATGAAGAGAGTTAATTTTCTGACTCGTTCTCTTATATATAATTATTTCGCTGCACCTGAGAAAATTTAAACCCAAACTTCCACACCACCGACCATATACTAATTTAGCATTTGACTTTAGCAAGCAACTAAACATCATGTACTTGGATCTGATTGATTACTTAAAATTATCATGCATCAGAAGAGTTCAGCACGAGGTTTTGCAGTAAGCCATAATCACTGAACTAACTAGGGTTTTTGAACATCATCATCTTGAAAGCTAACTTCTATATAAAGCCTTGAAGCAACTTGTATACTTAGCATTGCATTTCAGAAGACAAATAAACCATCAACCAAAACCATGTTTTACTAGTATCTCAGAACTTCTTTTCTTATCGTTTTGTTTCCATCTCAAGCTAGCCTAGCTTTTCTTCTTCTTCTTCTTTTTTTTTTTCTTCAAACAATGGTGGAACTAGTTCCTCATCGTCAACTTTCAGGGCATTTCTTCGCCACCATTTCTTGCATTCTCATCATTGTCCTTTCCAATGCCGTTGTCCCAACCTCGGCCGCGAGGGTTTGCAAATCGACGTCCAACCCTGCTTTATGCGACTCCCTCACCGTCCCAAAGGGCAACTCCGGTAATGTCTATGATTCCGGTAGACATTACGTGCGAGAATCCTTGATTTCTACTGATAAGTACTTGTCATTGATCGACAAGTACCTTAAACACCCCGATGGCTTAAGCGTCGCGGAGATTCGTGCTCTCCAAGATTGCAGGCTTTTAATCCAGTTAAGCAAAGATTTCTTCCTAAACTCATTCAAAGTAGTGAACAAAACCTCTAAAGTACTTCCCACATTGGATGCCGATGATGTCCAAACCAAGCTGAGTGCTTGTTTGACCAACACTCAAACATGTTTGGACGGCCTTCAGCAAGCACCTTTAAAATCCTCCGGTGTTAGAACTGAAATTGTCGATCCACTTTCCAGTGACGCCAAAATCTTCCAGCTTTCTTTAGATTCCTTCACCAAAGGATGGGTCCCAGAGAAGAGAAAGATCCCTCCTCGTCCTCACGCCCCTCGTAAACTCCCTCCTCTTCCCCACGGACATCGGCCGAAAATATCGGAGCACCACCGGGAAGTTTACGAGACGGTGGTGAGCAACAGGAAGCTTCTCCAGAGCAACTCCGACGAGACGGTTCAGATCAGGGATATTGCGATCGTGAGTCAGGATGGAACCGAACAGTATATGACCGTGAGCGACGCCGTGGCCATGGCACCGCTGGATTCGAATAGCACCACCGGATACTACTTGGTTTACGTCATGGCGGGCGTTTATAATGAAATTGTTTCCATTGGCAAAGACCAGAAATACGTGATGATTATTGGAGATGGCATCGACAAAACCGTTATTACAGGGAATCGCAGCGTTACGGATGGTTATACCACTTACAACACTTCCACCTTTGGTAATTATATGTTATTCTCTTTATCACCAAATATTTATTTTGTCACATCCATTTTATTAGTAGTGATTATACTGACTATAAAATAAGATCACAAAACTAGAAATAGTATTCTATTTGTCCCAAAATTATTGTCCAATTTGAATTTTTTACTTTTACTTCAATTTGTATTAACATTAAATTCCAAATTGAATAATAATTTCGGAACAGGTAGAGTACTTTCTATAGTGACTGATATGACAAATATGTATGTTATTCTTTAACTAATTGATATTTTTTTGGTGTTATTTCTTGCAGCTGTTATCGGAGAAGGATTTGTTGGAGTGAACTTCACGATCCGAAACACAGCCGGGCCGGCTAACCACCAAGCAGTGGCCCTCCGAAACGGGGCGGATCTATCCATATTCTACAGTTGCAGTTTCGACGGATACCAAGACACAGTGTACGCGCATTCCCTCCGTCAATTCTACCGTGACTGCAACATCTACGGGACCGTTGACGTCATCTTTGGCAACGCGGCCGTCGTGTTTCAAAACTGCAATATATATCCCCGACAACCGATCGAGAAGCAGGTGAACTTGATCACCGCACAGGGTCGGACCTACGCGACTCAGAACACCGGGATCTCCATCCACAACTGTAACATTAAAGCCACAAACGACTTGGCCGCTAGCAGTTACGCAGTAGATACGTATCTTGGGAGGCCGTGGAAGCAGTACGCGAGGGCGGTTTACATGCAAAGTTACATGGATAATGTGATTAACCCGGCGGGTTGGCGGGATTGGAATGATACTTTGAGTTACCTCAATACTTCGTATTTCGCTGAGTACAAAAATACGGGTCCTGGGTCGGATACAAGTAGAAGAGTGGTTTCTCCTGGGGTCCACCTTAATATTAATGCCACTGAGGCTACTAATTTTACCGTGGGTAGCTTTATTCTTGGAGACTCTTGGATATGGCAGACTGGCGTTCCGTACACCGTTGGCTTGCTCCCTTGATTAATTTAATTTAATCACGAAGTGTCTTAGAAATTGGCCCAATATTGTTTTTGACTAGCAGATTAGAAACATGTAATAACTCTGGTCTCGACTCTCGAGAGCTCGCCTCAAGCTCTAGAGTTACGTTGTTTTGGCGCGCTTTGTCCAAATTCAGATTTTGTTTTCATGAATTGTTTTTTTTTTAATACATTTGACTATATGAGATTAGTGGTCTCTCAACTTGCTATAGAATTCCATCAAGTTTCGTTTCTCTAAAAAGGATTAAATTTAGATGTATCTGTCTGTTTAATATAAGTACTGGGTCTTGATCAGGTTTTATTTTATTTTTAATGCGATTTTAGTAGACTAAATCATGCAAGCGGTAAAATGTTTAAGTAACATGGGATCAGATTGACTGCTAATTTTGTCTTCAGGTGGTCTCTTGTTCACAATTAGTCGACCAAGATTAGATCAAAATCTATCTTCGATTTAGTTTTAATGGCAGTCTAATGTTTCATAGTCAGCTGTGAAATTATCCTTCTCTGTTTTCATATGATGATCAGATTAAACTTTACAATATCAACTAGACCAATTACACGTAAAGCTCGTTTAATTTCTTAACGTTTCTCTCTCTATTTGTCGCAAAGGAGGGGTTCTTTATCTGTTGTATTATTGTAATTTAATAAATAAGACTTTTATTTTGAAAACACTAAGAATAGTTTTTTACATGTATACTCCCAGGTTTTTTTTTTTTTTTTTTTTTGGGTACAATATACTCCCAGTTTTAACCAATGAAAGAATCTTGATGGTGTGTATTTCGATGTGTTTTTTTTCCAATGTATTTCAATGTGTAGGTCAAACTGCAATCTTAGTTAGTACTATTGAAAAAGTCCTAATTAAGGATAAACAGCTTGAACCCTTAAACTGAGTAACTGCATATGTGCACGATCCTTCACATGAAACGCAAAAACCAATAAGAAGAAGAATTAGTTAATCACTGGATTCTGTACTGATGCATCGATCGGCCGGCCGGATGATATAAATTAAGCCATTCTCTCTTCTGTGGCATGGACTCTTCTTGATGACACGTCCAGTTAACGTAATTAATCAATTGTTAAACTCGAGCTTCGGAACGCAGAAACTAGGTTCAGACAAGTTCCTAGATGCTCGTTGCTAAATTAATCTCATGCTTGTGCTTTGCCAGGTGGTAACAAGTTTTTGGGTTAATCATTAATTTTTCTTTTTCAAAGAAAGTGAAAAATGTCTAAAACATTAAACTAAAATGTTATGCGGATAAATAACACCGATAATGTCTTGTGGTGTTATGCTTCGGGGTTTAATATTGCAGAGTTTTCAAATTTTCTTCTTCAATTTCCTAATTTGAGTCGATTACGTACATATGCATGTATGTATTCAATATACAATGTGAAGTTTTCGCATTTTTACATAGCTAACCATTTCATTAATGAACATTAGGATTTCTTTTTTTTTCTTCCTATTTATGGTTGCCTTCAAAATCAGACTCCGAACGCACGCGAATGTATACAATATCTCACAAGTTCTTGGAAAAAAAAAGAGGCTTTTGTTTCGTTTTGAGTTCATCTTAAAAGTAACTAAAAAAAGAAAGAAGTAAATCAGTAATATAATCCTCCGATGATGGCATATATTGTGAAGAACAGGACGATTTGATCAAAGAAAATGAAATAAAGAACATGTTATATAGACTTCAAATTAGCCGCATATATTGCTTAATGTTTTTCTTTTTTTTGTCCAACTCAATTAATGATCATCAAATGGGGGAACGTGAGTCGTCATTAATTGACTGTTAGAAACAAACACACACGAATAATGCAAAGTTACAACATGCATGTATGTTCATCATATGATCCAGGCACGCACGCACGCACACAATGATCAATATTAATGCGCCGGTCTTCCGACGGACGCGGCGGCGACACGGGCGATGGTCAGGGCGGTGTTAATCAAGAGGCGGATATCCCGGTTCTTGTTCGCAACCTCCAAGGCACTCCCCACCTGTCCTTGCAAGCTCCCGTCGCAGGTATCCAGCTCCGCCGCCGCGCTCTTAGCCAGGTTGTTAACGTCGTCGTATTTGTCGGAAACCAACGAGCTGATGGAGTCCTCGATCAGCTCCACGGCAGACACGAAGAGCTCACTGCATTCGGTCAGCCCGTCCGACCCGGCGGCCTCCGGTTTGTTCAGGGTCAGCTTGATGAACAACGAGGTCGCCGTGGCGTTCTTCTCGGCCAGCCTCAGTGCAATGTAGGCCAACCCTCTCAAATCGGCTCCCTGGCTGTTCTTGTCGGAATTCAAAAGGTTAATGCAGAATGCTTTGTGGTTGGCCTGTTCGCAGGCTTTTGCGATCAACCCGCCCGCCGGAACCGGTGCGGTGGTCGGCGGGATATTTTGGACCTGGGCCAAGGAAAGGTGAGCCTGGAAGGCAACCAGGCAGAAGACAATAGGCAACATAATTGACCGGGAAAATCTCGACATTTTTTTTAATTAAAAAATTCCTTTTGGGTTGGGATTCTGAATTCAGTTTATAGAAAAAAAAAAAAAGTGTTTTGATGTTCCAAACAATTCTTGAAAATGGTGGGGTTTTAAAGCATCATGGACCTAATTAAGCTCTGTGGTTGTTCCTCCTCAAATTCGAGAAAGAAATTTTGACTGGTTTGCTGGAGTTTTTGGTGTTTTCTTTTCTTTTTTTTTTTAATTGATTTTCAAGTCAAATCTTAACCTTTCTTATGCATTATCAGTTTTTTCTTTCAGAAACTTGCGCTACGCCAAACAATGGAATGGACGATTAGGGACCAAATTCCGTTCTTCCTACGCTGTTTTCCGTATATTTTCCGTGTCACACCAATGGTCCCAAATTTCTCGATATTTATATTCCAAAAATGTTTAACAAAATACAACAAGCAAGAAATACATTGACTTTGGTACCAGCAATTCATGAATTTTAATATTATAACCATTAACCATGCAAAAGTAACCTTTGCAGTACTTCAGTATCGTAAAGTAAGTTCATGTCCTTCAGAATCATGGAAAGAAAAGAAGCACATTGTTCGGGCTGAAAAAGAAAAACCATGTTCGTTGATCGTTTTAAGTCAACGCATAAAATTGACATTTTGTTTAGACGACGAAAAAAAAAAAAAGAAAAATTTGTCTAAAAGGCGGTGGAAGAGGTCAAATTAATAAAAGAAAGTATGACCATAAAATATTTTTTATAAAAAGCAGTAACTTATTTATCAAAAATCATAAAATAAAAAATATTTAGAATTGACAATATCACCCTTTGAGTTCCAAAAAAAAGAAAAGAAAAATGAAAGCCTAATCGTTTTTGAAGGAAATGGTCAGATTAATGAAACTGGGTGCTTACAACGCCGGAAGTTAGCAATTTTTTTTCCTGACATTTCAAGAACTTCAAACACATGGTTGGCGGAGGTGATTTGATGATGATTTATTTTTGTGAAACTTGGTTTTCATGATTGGAAAAATTCTGATCATGAGGATGGTCGACGATAATGTTTAAATTTAATCATGCCAAAAAATTATGATGATGATTCAGTTTTTGTGCAGCTTTGCTTTGACGATGATGATGTTTGTTACATTGTCAAACTAAGACTTTTTTTTTAAAGAAAACTTTGATTTGACGATGATGATGTTCGTTATCCAAATACTTTAATCCCAAAATTACTAGTGCTTGTTTGGAGCAAAAGAGTCAATCACTGACGATAATGTCCAAATTCATATAAATGCCATTATGCAGAACCAGATCGTATGATTTATTAAACATGCTACCCAAAATGAGTGGAAAAGAATAGAGACTGTACACAAGACTGATGGTGCTAGAGAATTGGCTCTCTGATCTTTCACATGATAATATCATGGAATCACACTTCGGGTGGACGTTCTTGCGTAGAAGTTGAAAATCGCATTGCGTATTCTGTGACTAAACGGAAATTTCTAGATCCTCATTTCCAATGTTGCACTTTTCTTCTTGAAGCTTCCTTACGGAACCAAAAGCTCGATCACAGTGAACCATAACAATTTTTTGAAAAGTTAAAATATAGACTAAAAAAGAAGAAACTTCCTCCAAATCCTCGTAATATTGCAATTCTAATTTCTCAAGATGTGGAAAGTTGTCATCCGATGATAATGTCCACCAAACTAAATCTAAGTGCTCTAGCTTCAAAAGATCCTTGCAAAATTCCAATCATTTTTTTATTCATTTCGAGTATCCCTCTAGCTTTTACCTTTTCCAATAATCTCCTTGTGATTTGATGTCGTTTTCCCTGGGTCAATAAGACTTCGAGGTAACCGTTACCTATGGTTTGAAATAAATTAAAAGGGAGACTTTAAGGTGAAAATTGATGGTGGTAGTAGTCATTATAGAAATAAGGAAGGAGGAGGAAAGGCTGGTGGTGTTTTGGTCAGGAGTAATGGGTAATAGGTGAGGTGAGATGATGATGATCGAGAGTGGAGAGAATTAGGCAAATGAAAGAGTCTTATATCGATTTGGTCTGGATTTTATTTTTTATTTTTTTTTTTTGTACAAAATTAAAGGGTGATATTGTCAATTCTAAATATTTTTTATATTATGACTTTTAATAAATAAGTTATTGACCTTTATAAAACATATTTTATGATTATACCCCTTTTATTAATTTAATTTGATCCCATCCACCGTCTTTTAGACAAATTTTCCTAAAAAAGAATTGATCTCACAGTTTTACAGTAATAAATATTGGATAAAACAGGGGAATAAGAAAAAAAAGAAGAAGAAGAAAAATTCGAATCATTAATGATTCCCGCAAAGTCAATTTCATCACTTCATCGCTTCATCAGTGTCGACGAATATTTACAGTATACTTAGCGTGCTTCTCGGCCTTTTGGCTAAGAATAAGATTTTATGGTATGTCATTTGTCAATTTACATAGTTTCCAAATATAGTCCAATGGGTTGAACTTCCACTCGCCCTACCTATCTAACTGTTTATAACTCAATTAGCCGATTAGTTACTATTGTGGATTGTGGAGACTAATACAATATTACATGAAATAAATAAATCGGATTCCAGGTGTCATTTCTCCGGTGGCCCATTCGACCATTAGGACGAACTCCCCGGCGCAGGACGACTCCCCTGGGAATCTCCTTCTGCTAGAGTATCCACTCTTATACTGGTCAATTCCGGAAGCTTACGGCCACCTATGAAGGAACACCATACTACCGGAAGAACGGAACCCGCGCCAACTGAATCAGGCTGAAATTGAGCGAGTATGACCTGAGTCCGGCCCGGGTTCTTCACCGGAGCTCTGCAAAGCGGGCAGTTAGAGTGGCTCCGAAACCACAAGTCGATACATTCCACGTGGAACGAGTGTTTGCAGCCGGGTAAAACCCGTAGAGATTCACCGTCCTCGAATTCCGACAAGCACACCGCGCACTCCGGCGCCGAATCCGGTCGCACTTGATCACGTGCTGCTGTTGAAGGGGAATACATAAAAGTCGGAAGCGATTTCAGGATTGTTGGCCGGAGCCCTTTTCCACGGTCCACAAAGGACGACGAACCGGCCGTCGCACCCCGGACGCGTTGGCTCGGGCCGCGGCGGCGCCGACGATCATCATCCACAACCCACCGAGTGTAAATGTGGAAAACGGCGATAATGAGGAGAGCTAGGAAGAGAACCACGGCGGAAATGGTCATAACTCTTCCCTTTGTGGCATAGGCAGCTGGATTAATTGATCTTAGACTACCGTTTTGGGAATTACTATCATCATCATCCATGTTCATATGTATGATTTAATACGAGAACACTATAATTTTTTAGGAAAAAAATTTGAATGTGGAGCTAGGTGATATAATTGCGGAAAAGCTTCTCTATGGAAAACTGGAATCTTGGTTTGAAGGAGATAAATGGGACCAAATTAATCAGTGGGTTGGGTAATGAGAACTTATTCAAACTTGTGTGCTGGTTTTTAAAACTATCTATTGAAAGATCTTAAGATGCCTCATGCATCTTGTAGCGTACGTACAAATATACATATTCAATGGTTCTTTTTGAGTAAAGATCCAAAAAGTTATCTCCCTGTCTTTATCCCGCCATCTTATCTGCCCCTTCATGCTTTTTCCATAAATATATACACATCTTTTTGTAGGATGAACAAGACAGTGTAGCTGGTTATTGAGTATAAAAATTTGTACTAGCGAATCTAATCGCACTTTTGGCGATTTTTATGCGCCTTGGAAGAGCTATATCAAAATTGGTAACTCGAATGTCCGTAACTGTTGGAATTTCATAGGATTTCCACTTTGATTTGAAAATCGATTTCTAAATACGGATTTTTCTTGAACTTGTTCAAAGTTCAAACTCTAAAGAACTGAAATGAACACGTAAAATGCAACACTATGCAACCAAGCATTACAACTTACACGGATTGGCTTTGGATGCGGATGATCTTATCCAAAAACTACCAGTACGTAGTATTTTAATAGTAATGTATGAAATATAAAGTAAATAATGAATCTTGCAAGTTGACGGCTCACGGAAAAAAAAAAAAGAGAAAAGAATCATCCATTGTTCGGGCCAAAAAAAATACAAAGGTGGAGACCCGTCGCGGGTGGGTTAGACATAGTTTGTTCCCATTTGCCTGCAAATTGACGCTCATAACTTTGGTTTAATCCACCCCAAAAAGAGCCAACTAAAAGACAATTATTAGTACTTTATTAGTTTATTTTATGTGGTTTCCTTTATATGAAATGAAACCACTTGCGAAAAACTATGGATCCTAGCATGTTGGATGAGAACAACATGGTCCAATCTATTGTTTTTTAATAGAAAAATCTAGAAGACCCTGTATTTAAGATGGAAAAAATATTGATTTTATGTATAGCCAGTCAATAGAAATTTAGATAAGTTTTTGTTGCCTCCATTTATTAATAAACTACAGCTAGTAAAATTATAATCTTACCATTTTAATGTATCAAGGTGCACCACACGTAAGATTGTATAGAGGAATTTTTCACTTAGGAGGGTTCATTTCTAACAAACTAATCTAGTCACTATCACTATAAAAGGGGAGTTCTGCCGGTTATGTAAAAGTTCAGGAGATTCAGTTCTGTCCACTCTATTTATACTCTAATAGAAATTGGAGAGTGGATTGCTATTATATCCAGCACAGGAGAAAGAAACTTTAAAACCTGTCTTTGTAGGCTGTACCCTGTCCTTACGTCCATGTATTGAAGCAATAAGTAAATTTCGTTTATATCGGTAGTATTTTGGAAAGCATGATTGATTTTTATTTTTCCTTTTACCTTTCACTAAAAGGAAATGTACTCTATACAATTGATGAGTATGGATCTTCACTATGCCCGGTACCCAATTGCGGGCTCCAGTGGGTATTCCCTTGATTAGCTAAATCGGCTGTTAGGAGTCCTCTGAAAGGCCCAAACCTATTATCAGTATATATATCACAAATGAGAGATAGATGTAACTTGCTTATACCTTTTTCCAAACTCGTATACTTAGAGCAATCGCAGTGAGTGATAACTAACCTGAAAAATTGTGTCAGTTACCATCCACTTTATTGAAAGGAGGTGAAAAATGAAGCTCGTACTCTCTACAATTACATGATAAGTTTTGAAAAAAGGAAATAACGCTAGGCCAATATTGTTGCGTGGAAAAAGAAAGAACAGAGAAAAGAAACAATTGAATTAAAAAACAATCACAAATAGGTCCACCATTGTTACCAAATTCAATAATTTTCATTAGACCGAATAATTTTTTATAGAGATGGGCATGAAAATCCAATGTGACATAGCCTGGGCATATTTTTTCCCTCTTCCCATTGCGGTTCCTCTTATGATGTCTCTAGAAACTGACTTCTACATTTTTCCTTTGATCTTGCAGGTGTTCAGGTCTAAAGGATGAGAACATTTTTCCCCTTTCAGACTTTGAAGCTTAAGCCCATCTATAATCCTAAAATTGCGTCCCTCAAAAGCCTACTTCATTTTATGCGGCCCACCAGCACTGACTTCTACATGGCTTTCCCTGGAAAAAAGTCCAAGAAGCATTAACTCCTCTGTGCAGGAATTGATCTTTATCTCTTTGAAAAAAATCTTCACCATTCAAAGGAAAAAAAAAAATGAGTGGCCTTTTCTCAACAATATCTTCTTCTTCACCAATTTCATCAAGATCACAGCTTTTGCACCAAACTAATTGTTCTTTCATCAACAACCCAAATCCCATCATCATTAGGTGTTGTGATGACGCAGAAAGATTATTGCTGCACCATGATTACAACAATAAACCTCAAGAACACAATGGTTTAGCAGGCTTCCCTGAAAAGAACCTCGTACTGAATCATACTTCAGGACAAGTTCTGTTTAAGAAACCACCTCGGCCCAGAAGAATCATACTGGTGAGGCATGGGCAGAGTGAAGGAAATGTGGATGAAGCGGTGTATACGAGAGTGGCCGACCCGAAAGTTGGGCTAACCGAAAAAGGGGTCGCAGAGGCAGAGGAATGTGGGAGGAAGATGAGGGAAATGATTGAGGCCGATGGAGAAGAGGATTGGAAAGTGTATTTCTATGTTTCGCCTTACCGGAGAGGAATCGAAACGCTGCGGAATTTGGCTAAGGCATTTGACCGTTCAAGAATTGCTGGTGTTAGAGAAGAGCCCCGGCTCAGAGAGCAAGATTTTGGTATGTTTTATTAGTACAGTAATGCTGTTGAGAAGCTTATTCTCTTGTTTAGTAATAGTTGATAATTTATTTGAATTGATTGTTCTGTGCATTTCTGTTTTATTTTATTTTTTTTGGTAAGGAAATTTTCAGGATGAAGCACAGATGAAAATTGAGAAAGCTGTTCGTGCTCGTTATGGTCGTTTTTTCTATCGATTTCCCAATGGGGAATCTGCTGCAGATGTTTATGACAGAATAACAGGTATTGATGCATCTTTTTCTTCAAACACAAAGGCATGTTATTATTTGGGAAAAAACAAACATGATACACAAAATTAAAACTTATAAGAACGTGTTAAGTTCGTCTTGTGAAAACAATAAGATTTTGATATGCAACCGCAAATGTGAGGCTATTTTGTGCTCATTTAAGTATTTCAGGCTTTAGGGAAACACTTAGAACTGATATAGACATTGGGAGGTTTCAACCACCTGGAAAACAAAGTCCAAACATGAACTTGGTTCTGGTTTCACATGGACTTACATTGAGGGTGTTTCTGATGAGGTGGTACAAGTGGACTGTTGAGCAATTTGAAGGTCTACACAACATGGGAAATGGTAAAATGATCGTCATGGAAAGAGGCTATGGTGGAAGGTAAATAAATCCCTGCATTCTAACAAAACCAAGCTAAATTTTTATTGAAGTGAATGATTTTCCAGTGACATTTACAACAAATTCATTCATAATTAAGAATTTTTAAGCGTGGATATCAATGACAATGATCAAACAATTTCCACATGTTTACTGGCTGTTCAGGTACAGTTTGTTGATGCATCACAGCAAGGAAGAGCTAAAGAAGTTTGGGCTCACAGATGAAATGCTTATTGACCAGGAATGGTAAAGTACACTTGTTCATATCAGAAGTGAGATTTTATTTGGTTCCTTCTGAATCTTCTCAGTAGTTATGATTTTTTTGGTTTCTTGTTGCTATGAAGGCAAACAATAGCCAAGCCGGGTGAACTAAATTATGATTGTCTCATTACCGGACCATCTTACTTCACTCACTTTGATGAAGACAATGAGGGATAACAAAACCTTGCAACAGAGAGAAGAAATCTAATCAGGTGACAATCGAGTTGTGTTTCGTATACAAGTGTTGAAAGTTGAAATCTTTCGTGTTGGGTTGTAAATATTATCATTTCCACAAAACGAATTTAACACACTTTGTGAGTTCGAAATGCTGTAGCGAGTTCATGGTACCTACGAAACTAACGTATCATGCTTGTATACGCTGCAGAGTAATATAAACCTGTCACAATACTTGCAAAGGTGACTTCACCTCCCTTTTATACCTTACTTCATCCCATAAAATTCTCGGCATTTGTCTAATTATATTCCCTTCTGTGAAAACAGAAAAAAATGGGATGATTGTAGATCACTAAAATTAAAATATGACCAAAATGGCAATTTACTTCCAATGCTCTTATTGCCAAAGACGATGTAGGCAGGTATATGATTTAAGAAAATCCAAAGACGATGGATCACTGAATTTGTTTACACTTAGAAAGCACAATGGTTGAAGAAGTTTACAACAGGCCTTTCACAACTGTGACTCACAATGGTCAACTTCGAAGTTGGAACTAAAATGTACCTTTTATAAGAAACTAGATGGGTTTTACACGCTTCGAAGTTGGAACTAACATAATAATATAATACAAATTATATAAAAGAAAAAATAATTTGTTAATAATAAATAAATTTTGACTCACGATAGTGGTACTTTTGATTTCAACGACATAATATTCCAAATGTGAATAGGAATAAAAAACATATGAACTAAGTAATAAAATACAATCAAATTTATGCTTCACCCAGAAAAAAAAGAAACAACCTAAAAAGAAAAAAAAAATCAAAGATAAAAACTAAATTCTAGAAGGGAAAAAAAAAAGATGAAGATGAACAATGAAAAATAACTAACTTCAAGAGACTTGTAATGGTCACAAAACATAAAAAGCAAAGACTCGAAGAAAGAAAAAGAAAGATATGACAAGACTCATATACTATCTAGGATTATATATATCTTGATAAATTTAGAATATAAGGAAGAAACACACTAAAGAATTCGAAAAGATTAGAATCACCAAAATTATTTTTTGACATATCAAATTAACCTATTAATGAGAAATATTGAAAAAATAAGTTTATGGGAGGGAGATGAAAGGTGAAAAGTCTACAAAATTAAATGTAAAGAACTATCAAATATAAGTTAAAATCGTTACAACTACTTTTGTGACTATCAAATTCTAATAATAGTAATAAGTAGTAAATTATCATAAGTTCTATGTGTTTTCATTCTCTTCTAACATTTTATTTTGCACTAAACATTAAATTTCAAACAAAAATAATGAAAACCAAAAATAAATGTAAGAGGAAGGACTATCAAATCCAAAACCACATTCCCCAATTATAATATATGTTGATGAGAAGAAAAGGCAAGACCGAAATTACATATGTAACTATATGTGGAGGTTATACTATGCCTATAAAATTTAAATTTAAACGAAACCAACGTTTGATACATTAGCATATTACTGTATAAGGTGGCTGATTTTGTCATTTTCCTTTTTAAATATGTTAGTGTGGTATATGAAATTGAATTGCCCAAAGAAATTTGAATCCCGGTATTCTAGTAAGTCAGAGGATCTTGTGTAGCACTCCCATACTAGCCAAGAAAAGATATTGTGTGTAGCTGCTGTTGTATCACGTAAAATTATAAAGCCAGACATAATAAGTCAAATAATACTTCTTTTATCTTAAAATTAGATGTTTGTCGTGGGCGAATGCCCATGCGACTATTTGTGCTTGAAGTTAGTTAAATAAAGAAAACAAAATTTTTGAAAAAGAATAAATATCCTTTAACACCATTATATATATATATATATATATTGTAATGTCTTAACTTAATCGTTGCAAGGAGCCTAACTTAAGAAATTAGTATGTATTTAAAAAAAAAAAATGAATGAAGAGCATAGCTCAAGCAATTTTTAACATTCACTTCTAGGTTAATATTAAAATTTTAATGTTTTAGGAAGACACCTCATTTTACAAATAACGTAGTGTCTCAGCTCGGGATTGCCGGGCCGGTTAACACTTTATCATGTTTAAGTGAATTTCAAATGATTTTGTACCTTTCGGTTAATATTAATAAGATATATACATTAATCAGTATATAACAAAACCTAAAAGAAATAAAAAACAGAGCAATTGGAATGACCAAATTAATTATTAACGAAGTACCAAGAAGTGAAAATTCTTGCGTAGACTAAAAATCAAGTCTTTAACACAGTAAACATTGCCCATACAAAATTTCATATTTTTATGAATCAAAAGCTAGTTAAAAATTTTCTTCCTCTTCCTGCAAATGAACAATTCAGCATTTCATTTATTAATTTTCATTTCCAGACCAAACAAAAGGATCTGTAGCTACGATTTTTTCTTCCTTGCTCCTTCTACAACCATAACTTTTTCCCGGATTCTTGATTATTGATTTTTTTCATTATAATGATAATATGGCTATGAATGGGTTAAGTTTAATTTTCAATTAATGATTACATGAATTGTTTTGGGTGGTATGTGGATGATTTGATTGCATTTGTTTTCCATTTGATGAAGATGACTCTGGCTAATTTGTAAGGATTTCAATCAATGAGCTTTATCGTTACTAAAAGGGAGCGATACTTACCTTCATAATCAAATTATTTATTTAACATTTGTGTTATATCCAAATAAATTATTTAAGGGGATTATTTGACATTTAATTTTATCAACTCAATGTTGTTATAACTTTTAAAGGATTAGTATACATCTATAATTAAGAGATTAGTATGTAACTATAATTAAGGGATTTATTTATTTATTTATTATATCTTTTTTTTTCCTGAATAGTTAGGCCACATGTCAAAAATGATTTTGTACTGAAAATTGCCTTTGGCGGGAAAATTTTCATTGTGGTGCTGACACATCACCAGCTTGTATGTTGCTTTAATTAAGTTATATTATTTAAGGGGATTATTTGACATTTGATTTTATCAACTTAATGTTGTTTTTTTTTTTTTTAACTTTCAAAGGATTAGTATACAACTATAATTAAGAGATTAGTATGTAGTTATAATTAAAGAATTTATTTATTTATTTATTCTATCATTTTTTTTCTGAATAGTTAGAGTTCCACATGTCAAAAATAATTTTGTATTAAAAATTACATTTGATGGGAAAATTTTCATTGTGGTGCTGACACATCACCAGCTTTTATGCTGCTTTAATTAAGTACTATAGATTATTATCCAGTTTGAATTTCATTTTTAGTACAAATTGAACTAAAAGTGAAAATTCAAATTGGACAATAATTTTGGAGCCGAAGGAGTAATTTTGGAAAAAAAAAAAAGATAAATCTTACGGGAATTTTAACAATAAAATAGAAGTACTTATACTTGTTGCACTAAAAATAAGAATACAGGACCTGTTGGAATAACTTTTAAGCTAAACAATGGACAAAATTGTAGTTCATATATTCTTAACAAAACTCTTTCATCCCGCACTAAATATTGTTCATTATTCAGGTTCTGTTTGATGAAAATTGTTACTTAATTCTGAATGCTTAATTTTGAATTTGAAATACTAAATTTATTAAACAGTTACAAAATAAGCAACAAGCTAATTTTTATTCTTTATTCTATACTGCAGTTTCAGCATTACTTAATTTATTAAGTAGTTCAATTTTTATTATCAAACATGTTGAAGTGAAAAAATATATTTAATCAATTAATTTTAAATATTTAGTAGTGTTATCAAACAAGCCCTCAGAGGATATACTAATATTTGCTTGTCGTAACCGGAACAAGATTTTTGGTTTTTCATCTTTATTTCTATTTTTTCTTAGCTCCAAAATAAGGGGAAAAAAAAGAAAAGAAAAAGACTTTTTTGTGTGTTATTTAAAAGGAATTATTTGGAGAAGCGTTTCACATGGAGGATTTTTTTGTACATTTGAGAACGTTAAGCTATCAATAGAAAGAATATTAACTAGGAATTTGTGATTACCATTAACAGGTACCCTTAAAAAATAAAATAAAATGCCAAACACCAGCAGGAGAAGCCCCGCGGCCTATATATTGTATGGTATTATTCGGTGTTAGGCGGTCGAATCCAAATTATTTGAGGCATAAAACTTGTTGGTATAACTAGTCAACAATTTCATTTGAAATGTTTAAACAAAACGCAACTAGCATGAGTGCGTGGTAACATTTTTTCTAATTTTATTTTTGAACATCAATATCATTAATTCGGTACCTAATTTATTCTAAGCGGACATTATAACTTCTGCAGGTAAGGGAAATACATATATAACTCAGTTAGACCCGTTACGGTATCATCAATAAAATTCCCATTCCCAGCAAAATAAAGAAGGGAAAAACAATTTTTTTTTTTTAGGGTTTTGATCATCTCTTGATGCAAATGGTTCACAAAAAGTCACTCGATCACGATCATCAAGAAGAAGAAGAAAAAGAAGGCGAGATATACATCCTGACGCTTCCCGTTCCTTCAAGAATTAAACGAACTTGTAGTTTCATCAATGTCAAATCTCCTTCCCAATTTTCTACTAAGAAGAAGAAAAATAGGTCCAGAAGGTGTCACAAAAAGGTGGGCTTACCGGGATTTGAGTGTCGTTGGGGCGGAACATTCTCCGGCATTCATCGGTACCTGAAAGCGCAGGCATGTAAGCGACTTCAAGACTACAGGTCGCACTGCTCTGAAAAAGGCTACACCGATTTCTGTAGCTGACAAGTTGGAGTAGACTTTGATTAATGAGTATGTAATCTTATTTCTGTAGTGATTTTGTCTTAAAAAATAAGATGTATCAATCGAACTAATTTTCTTTTTGAATGAAGAAGTCATTTCCTATTCTTTTTTTTTTCATTAGATATTCTTATGTAAAATTCTAATTTTTAGCGAGCATGATATATATCAAGTTGAATGCTTGAAGGCATTATATATGAAAGGGAGGTACTCAAAAAATCCTGATTATCTGAAATAAATTGTTGGCAACAAGTGATGATTTGTCACTATTCTCATTAACTATACACCTAACTCCAACTCTTCTAATCGTATTGGAACTTGGAAGTTGGATGAGCTAAATCAGACAACTTGAATTAGAGAATTGTCGCGTCATAATTTGCGTTATATATTATGTTAACATGTTGTATAAAGTCATATAGCCCTTTATTATCTTAAAAGAAGATTCTTATTTGTATCAATAAATCGTATATAAAATAATACAACAGCAAAGATGCTTGTTTTACAGCACCTATATTATTTTTGTGAAAAGTAAGAGTAAGTTAATTTGCATATAATGACATTCTCACACAAATAATATTCTTCCTAGAGAGACCTATCCGACTCGAATTTAGATTATTTAGAATAATTATTTTGGACTTGTACCAAAAAAGACCTCACGCAATAGTGAGACTTGTTATTGACCTTATGCCTCAAAACTACGTTGTATTGCTTTAAAAAAAACTTTCAGTATATATATATATATATATATATATTATATATATATATAAGCAGGTTCTTGCTTCAAATGTATATAAAAATTAGTTCATTTTATTGTCAGATAGAGAAATCTTAATTATGTGAGCTCTAATTCAATATTTTATTTCAAGAAGAAAAAATTGACGTCGTTTATAGTTTAAAAATATGTTGAAATTTTATGGGTAAAATTACAAAAAAATTCAAACAAAATATATTTTTTGCATTCAAATCGAATCACTCTAATGCCAATCTTTTTTTTATTTTTTTAAAAAGTTGAAACTTTGCGAGTAAAATGCCAAGAAAATCCAAGTAAGGCATTTTTCTTATATTTAAAACTTAATTATTGTAATATTCATCTTATTAAAAAATGTTAAAAAATTAAACGGATAAAATTATAAAAAAATTCAAGTAAAACATTCTTCTTATATTTAAGTTCAAGGAAATTTAAATTACAATAATTTAATACCACTTAATTTTCACACCATCTTTTTTTATTCATTTTTTTATTGTTTACTTATTCTTTATATTATTCGTTTTTCTTTATATTCTATTTCATAATCAACCATCAAGCGAGTATGTAGTATTTTCTTTACAAGTAATAATTATTTTAATAATACATTTTAACATATTATGTGCAATGCATGGAGAATCTACTTTCAATTATTTATGGAGACCTGTTGATAGAACCGTTGATGAAGGAAAATGTTTGGTGTTGAGAGGTATAGGTTGACTAGACAACATATCATGGGTCCAAGTGAGCTTGCAGAAATTACCCGTATGTCTGTTTCATTTTTTTAATGTATATTTTTATATATTTTTTATATTGGTATTTAAAAAATATGTATTAAAAATATAAAAAGATATGTTTGAATAGGATAATTAATAATAAAATAATTCGAAAAAACTAACCAAAAAAGGAAACAAATAGAGTCTACATTTTGGCACTTGGCCCAATCTTCCTCTGTGGATCTTGCTTGTGTAACTAAGTCTACTCATTTCAGCCTATAAGCTAATGCAAAACAACATAATAGCACCTTCCATGATTCAAGAAAATCACAAAATGATTTTTTTCTTAAAATATAATTTATGATGAAAACAAAAATTCAAAATAAAAAATTATTCCAGGACAAAAAAAGTAATCGTTTAATTTGTTTTAGTCTCAACAAAAAGATTAATTATTGTTAGTTATGGAAGACACTTATTATACAAATAATAATTTGTTTTAGTCCCAGCTTGATTCGAGCGAGATTTATACAATAAATTATTTTCTCTTAAAAAAAATAAAAATGATGGTCATTTATTAATTTAAACAAGTAAGAGAAATTTGTAAATAATAACAATTACCACTAGGATGGAAATACTAATTAGAGTTCTTCAATCTACACAGTAAACGATATAAACTAACGTTAAGTGTATGTTAGAAACAGTAGATTCCCGGAAAGCCAATCTCAAGAGATGCCCGTAATTAGCAAACATATACATATTAATACTCTTTTCATTATGAAATGATTATTTAATTTAAATTATTATTTTTAATTTTAATTGTAAGTAGATTGGACAATTCAATGTTAGGTTAGAAGAGTGCTATCTATGTAATCAAACATTCAAACAAGCTAGATTTTGTTTTATTAACGCAGGATATGCCGTTGTCTTAACTCTTAATATTCTTCTCAAACCAATACATATAGAAACAGAAGGATTCTTCTGAGACTAAATTTCAACATAATGAGATGTCCAATATAATACTCCTTCGGCTCCTTCTTATAAGGCATTTTCATTTGTTCTATATTTCACTTAGTATGTCTTTTCAATTAAAAAAAAAAATTTTAAAATTATATTTTCATATTCATTTTGTTCGTCGAATGTTAGGAAATTTTTTAAAATTTTCTTTTTCAATCGAAAAACATATTACATAAAACTTATGACAAATTAAAATGTCTTACAATAAGGATAGAAGGAAGTATAAGATAATATATAATAATTTAATGATCAATTTGTCACCGTCACCAAAAAGACATTACGATATTTGGTAAACGCATACACCAAATGACTACTGTCTAAGGACGATACAATTCATGAATTCTTTTTTCAAAATGTATGCAGGTTGAAGAAAACCAAAATTTCCCAGCATAAATACCATCGAGAAATGAAAAGGGAGGCAAATAGAAACCGAAGAAACTAAACTAGCTAGTAAAGCAGCCTAGTCATCAAGTGATCATCAATGGAGAATATTAAGCACAAAAATTATTCCGTCAATGGCATTAACATGCACGTAGCCGAAATTGGAGAAGGCCCGGCGGTGTTGTTTCTGCACGGCTTCCCGGACATCTGGTACTCCTGGCGCCACCAGATGGTTTATCTTGCGACCAAAGGCTACCGGGCGATTGCGCCGGACTTAAGGGGCTACGGTGATAGCGATGTACCGGAAGGCGGCGCCACCAGCTACACTGCCTTCCATGTTGTCGGAGATTTGGTGGCCTTATTGAAAACTCTTGACCTGGATAAGGTTTTCTTGGTTGGCCATGATTGGGGGGCTGTCATCGCCTGGTATTTTGTTATGTTTCGTCCCGATTTGATCACCGCCTTGGTCAACCTGAGCGTTGTATTCCGCCCAAGGAATCCCGCAATCAAACCGCTTGATGGGTTCCGGTTACTCTTTGGAGATGATTACTACATTTGCAGATTTCAAGTATGTGTTCACTCTTTAATTTATTCATTTATTCGTTTTATTTATAAGACACAATTTAAAGTTAGAAATGGCGGAATGACCTAACTCTTCTAGTTGTCCACTACAAAAAATAAAAATATTGAACAATAATTTCGGGACCAAAGTAGCTAAAGAGAGTTTTCTGTTTAGGCTCCCGGAGAGGCGGAGGAGGATATCGGAAAATATGATACGGCGGAGCTGATGAAAGCGATGCTTACGATTAGAGATCCGGGTCCACCGATTATTCCTAAGGAAGTTGGATTTGGGATATTCCTTCAGATTGTTCCTCCCACTTTGCCTGATTGGCTTACTATGGACGATGTCAATTATTATGCTACCAAATTCAAACAAACTGGCTTCACTGGTGGTTTCAATTATTACCGAGCTATGGATTTGTAAGTTAGTTTCTTCCATCCCTAGTCCCTCTTTTTTTCTTTTTCTTTTTTTTTTTCCGGTACAGTAAAAGAATCAAAGCCTAAGATTTATGAGTATATTCCGGGGAAAAGAAAATAATCTCAACAACCTCGTATTCTAGCCAATGTTTGATTTCTAATCCCAACTTGTGTTGTGTTCTGAAATATCATAAAGCAAAAGAGATATTATGGGGAATTTTTGTGTTGCAATTTCTGTAATACTATTATCTAAATAATAATTGTTAGTTTGTTATGTGTCTAGTCAGTTGCCCAAATAATTGACACTGTCGATTTACTCCAATTTTTTTAGGCAATAATTATTGCTAATTCATTGTACCAAAAAATAATCATTACTAATTAGTTTCAAGAAATTATGTAACTGATGTTTCAGAAACTGGGAGATGACGGCGGCATGGGCCGGAGCTCAGATCAAAGTGCCGGTGAAATTCATGGTGGGAGAACTGGATTTGACGTACCACGCACCTGGGGTCCAGGATTATATACACAAAGGTGGATTCAACAAAGACGTTCCAGACTTGCAAGACGTCGTTGTCATTAAAGACGCAGCCCATTTCGTTCACCAAGAGAAACCAGATGAAATCAATTCCCACATTTACGATTTCATCAGCAAGTTTTGACCCTTTAAGCTCCATCTCAATTCTCAGCGAAAACTTTCTTCCATGTCAATTAGAAAGTTGAGTTTGTCAAACTAACACAATATATATTAATAAATCTATAAAACAATAAAAGCTCAAAGTCTTTTTTTTTTTTTAGTTTCTTCTAATTTTCTTTGGAGTTCAAATAAAAATTTCAAAGGAGGCATGACTCTGTTTATCAAGACCATGTGATCATGTTTTTAATTACTAGGGCTAATCGGAAATGACAATTATTATGTTGAAGATAGAATACTCTAAGAAGTAATAAGGACGCAAATAATACTAAGCACTCGGAGCTCCCAAGTTAGGGAGCTCCAGGACGGGCGTGTATAATACACGTTTAAAAAAATGCGTCTCTAATTTTTTAAAAAATTGGACGCAACTTACGCGCATCATCAGGCTTCTTTTCTCCCCTTTTCTCTTCCCCTTTTACGGCCTAATTAAAGTTATTAGAACTTAAAACTTCATCCGGCTATTCTTTGATAGTGATATTCCGACTTTATTTTCGGCTTCAATTCAATTGGATTTAGTTTCCTGACGGTGATTCTAAGATAATTCTTCGATTTGATTTAGTTTCCTATTCCAATTTGATTTCTTTTGAATCTCATCGGCTTTGTCGTATGAACTGGAACTTCACCATCAATATCGTATAAATTTTTTCAGAACTATATAATTTATAGCATTTTTTGTGTTTGTTTTGGTCTGGTGGATGAGCTGTTCGGAAGGAATGTCTGATGTCATTGTTCCTTATTCAAGCAAAGAATCAGAGGATGAACGCATTGTTAATGCGGAAGGAATATCTGCTGCCATTGTTCCTGCATTGATGTTTTTTGAATAATTTGTGTTATGAATATCTATTATTGGTATGTAAACGTTGTTATTCTGTTATTATACTTTGTTTTCTCTTTTTCCTGTGATAAACAGAAAATACAGGCGTCGATGCACATCATAGTTTTACAAGATGAGCACCAATTAGCACAAGATACACATCAAGTTACCTGAAATGAACTTTGCTGTTTTGCAGTGAACTTCAGATACAGGATGAACTTTACAGTTTCGCAGGATGAAGATTCACTTCATTGAAATGAACATTGTAGTTAGAAAGATGAGATATCATATTTGTACAATATTTTGTCACAATGAAAGACGTTTGAATTTGTGGTGATCATTACAGTTTATAGGATGTGTACTATACGTTGTTCAGTGCACAACAAAAAATATTTATTGAATTTTTATTTTGATACCAAATGGTGCAAACATTTTGATGTGTTTTTTAATTGTTATCAAGATGATAGTAGATACAAATCAATTAACTTGTAAAAATTTAAACCAAAAAAGAAAATTAGAAAAATTTATCTTCGTGTCGGTTTAGGGTTTAGGGTGATTTAAGCATTTTGATTAGAGGTTAGGGACTAGTTTTCGTTGGGGAACGATTAACCTTTTAAATTTGTTTAAACCAATTAGGCTGTAGAACCACAATCTTAAAAGAGATGGATGAATACAACCCAAGTGGAAGATATCTGGTTCCGGAGATAGAAAGGCCACTTTAAAGGAAGTCATCAGTTTCATCTTCAAGCAATTAATTAAAGACACTCAAGCGCAAGCGATGAGTAAGTTGTATTGTTCTCACACAATCCTGTGTGTTGTTTTCTGTTACTCTGTTACTTTTCAATGCGTCAAAGGTATTGGGTCTCTTAAACAGTTGGGGATAGAGAATGGGGTTTGGTATAGTAGGGTAGTATATGAAGAGTATGAACTTTTGGTCTTCTAGTGAAGATCCTCGTAGTTCTCTGGTATTAGGATGCTGTGTGGAATTGACTGGGTGGTCTTCGGTTATTATGCTTTGGAAATATTTGGATGAGTAGCAGTGGAGGTTAAATAATAATTAATAAAGAGGGTAGTACTTTCCAATAATTTGTATTAGAGAACAATTCGAGCACAAAAATATGACTTTATCTTTTGTTTAGAAAATAGAAAACTATTTGTATCAATTGAATACTTTGAAAGTTTATTTAATTTTTTTTTTATGTAAGCCTAATTAATATAACAATAAGAAAGTGTTTATCGACAAAAAAAAAGGGTCTAACATATAGAAAATTTTTGATATTATTAAATTTGAAATTTCCATTAATACAAAATAAATTTAATTAATTTAAATCTTCCAAAATGGGTTGTACGGCTCATTTAAGTACAAGGTTTTGGAAAATAATTTATATAATTTCGATTCAGTGCATGTGAAGGGGAAAAATAGTTTACTTATAAAAATTAAAATTATTTTCACAAAAAAAAAATTAAAATTATGCATCCGATTTGAAATTAGGAAATATTTATTTTCAAATTCAACATATTTGTATTATTTCATCGTGTAATATGTTAATTTTTTCATATTAATTTTAATATTATCATTTACACACATTGGAAATAAATTTTAATTTATATGTCAAAAAATCAAATGTAAAAAAAAAAAAGAAAAATTATTTTAAGAGTTTGAGTCATATTTGTATCATTAAATTATTATGCGCCTAACACAAATTATTCAAGAGTACTACCCTCTTTATTAATTATTTAGTATCTACTACCCATAATCCAAATTTTTCCTAAAGATTTCAGGTTGCATCGATATTATTCCTTCCGTCCCAAAAAATAGGTCAGACAAAATTTTGAATTTTGTACTATTTTTTGGACAAATTTAAAAAATCAATGTTAACTATTTTTTCTGTGACGGAGATAGTAACATTTATAGTGTATTTCATTCTGTTTGCAGGAGGATAGTAGAGTATGGGATATTGACAGAACTCAAGATGAATCATACATTCTGGATCACTAAATTCCCTGTTTGTCAGGGGATGCTCGTCTTATTCATTAGTACTATGGCATGTTAACTTTGTAACCAAGCTTTGCGAGATTGAAATGAACAATTCGGAAAACCACTGCATATAGATTCGCACTTGACGATGTCAATAGTCGACACTCTTTATAAATAATACTATCGCATTTATTCCAAAATTTGTTTGTGCTCATTCCTGTTTAGCTTTTGCCCCGTGAATATCTCTTACCATTTTCTCCAGTAACATACCGTAGAACGTCGTTAAATTAATAATCTATAAATTAATAATTTTTAACAATTAATAATTTTTTCTGATCCCAACTTGGGACTAGTACAAAAAAAAAATTGATAAAATGATAAGATAATAACGTTTCAATAAATCTCTTATATATATTTATAAGTCCCACCAATACCATAAATTAATAAATACACTAACAACAAAAATAATAATAATAATTACTATAATATTTAGTAAAATATGAACTATTAATACTTATTTTTTAGTCAATGGATATGATATGAACTATGTATACATATTTAGAGTTTAGAATAGTTTTAATACTTGATTAATTCGGATGTAAAGACAACTACAAATTAAGTAATTTAGTGGCTGTTCTTTTTTTCTCATACAAATTTTTTAAATTAATAATTTATTAATTTATCGATTATTTAATAATTCGCTAAATTAATAAATTTTGGTGGTCCCAAACTATTAATTTATAGAAGTTTTACTGTATATAGATAATGATATGGGGCAATTTCTAGTGTAGCCATCTTTGCTTTAATTATTTAAATACTTCCGATATCTTTAATTCAATTCTTTATCCTAATTCTTTCTATTATATACTTGAACGACGTAACTTCAAAGTTGAAACTTGTTCATGTTTTATATATGTTCAATGGTAAGATTACTTTTTCAACATTATATACGAATCCTAAGTATCTGCTTCCAAGACCAGCTGCTATCTGGTTTATGTTGGACTTCCCAAATGTCATTATGTCCCAAGTAGATTTCATGAACCCATTTTAATCATAAGCTTTCCTTATTGCTGCAAATCCACCAAACCTGTTTGAGTATTGCTGCTTCATACCATGTTCTTGCATCATATATAAATACTTAATCCATCCTACATACTGTCTCTCATCCTACTAGTGCCTTATATCTTTCAGATTCTCAGGTTCCCTAGATAAATTCTCTACATATCCTGTTCATTGATACTGTTACACTACTAGGTATTATAAAAGCTGCTGCCCAGTAAACATGTAAGTTCATTAACGCCGAGTTTATCAGTTGTAACCTACCAGCATAGGATAGGTTTCTAGTACTCCAACACTTCAATCTACTAACAATTTTATCCACAATGGTCTGACAGTCCATCTGGTTCCATTTCCCCGAAGATAAAAGAACACCCAAGTATCTCATAGGGAATTTACCCTCTTTAAACCCTGTGATACTACAAATCCTCTGTTTAATTCCCTCATTAACTCCCCCCATAAACACCTCAGAGTTAGCCAGGTTTGCTTTCATTCTGGATACTTGAGAGAACTTAGAAAAAGCATCATGTATACACTCAACAGTAGGTATATCTGCTTTACAAAAGATCATGAGATCATCCGCAAAACAGGTATTTGTCAACTTAATATTAGAAAAGAGAGGATGGAATTCAAATACAAACAGTTCAGTAGCTTCCTTTAGGAGTCTGGTCAGATACTCCATTAGTAACACAAAAATCAGAGGGGAGACAGGATCCCTTTACCTCAATCCTCTTTTACCACTAAAGAACCCCACATTCGCCCCATTCAGGTTCAAAGTGCAAGACGGAGAGGTAATACACGACATAATCCAGTTGCTGGATTGACGAGAAAAACTAAAACGATACAAACATTCTTCAACAAAGCCCCATTCAACAGAATCATAGGATTTTTGGAAATCTACTTTCAGCATACATCTACTACTCACCCCCTTCCTTCTATATAATCTGATGAGTTCCCGGGTGATTAGTATGTTATGTAGAATTAACCTCCCCTCTACAAATGCCCCTTGATTAACATCTGTCAGCACCGGTAGTACCTTTTTCAATCTATTACAGAGTATCTTAGAAATAATTTTATATATTACATTGCAGCAAGCTATTGGCCTAAACTAACTAGCATTACAAGTATTTTCAACTTTTGGATATATATATATAGTATATATATACTTGCATTTTTTCAACTTGCAGCAAGCTATATATATTATTTTGGTTGTCGTTTAAGAGTTTGAATTGGATGATATTCGTAATATTCGTGGTGGTATTTATATATAAGGTTTCAAGGGTATCAAGAACGTTTACAAAGTAACTTGCATTTTCTTTTAGTACTTAAATTAAATTGGTCTTTTCTACCAAAAAAAAAAAAAAGAAAATATTTTTTTCCTAAATTAGCTTAGTAACTAAATAATATTTATATTTGTAAAAAATGATGTATCCCAGATACTGGACTAATTACTACTTACGTCCCATAGTAGTTGCCCATTTTTTTTAACTATATATATTTACAGTTTGCCGTCCTTGGGATCACGGACAAAAGCAGCCACTTTCACGTTGAAGTCGGCCTCAAACTCCTCAATTTCCTTGAAGAAACTCGTAAACCTTTTCTTGATCTCAGTTTGTCTAGCCCTCTTGTTGGAAATGGAGCAGCTTTTTAGGACTTATTTTTCAGCATGATCGATATCAATAGAGAGAAAGAGAGATATTATTAATATTACTTTTTTACAAATATCATTTCGTCGGAGATGTCAATTATATCGTGAATAACTCGTACACCGTGCGAAGTAAATACTAGTATAACTAATAGAGAAACTAGAGAGAGAAACTAAAAATTTTTTTTAGAGTGTCATCTTAGACAAAATCCAATGTGTCATTTTATCATTAATTCTCAAAAAAAAAATATATTACGTAATTCTTCAGCAAGTCCTCTAATATTACAAGAAAGACAAACCGACAATAATTATGGTTGAAGAAGAAAAACTAACACACAAAAAAAAAAAAATCTTTAATGTATACGTCCATCTAACTTATAAATCTCATAACAAATTCTCTAATTGTTCTCTAACTTTATCTTTTGTGGATGACGATTCAAGATTGAATTTTTCTATTGTTTTCATATATAATCACCCTCAAATTATAACTTTGTATCATGGTATTAAAAAACATATTGTTTTTCATGTATAATGTTTATGACATTTTAATTTATTATGTTGCAAATTGCAATTTAAATACTTGTGACATGCTATTTTTTATATTTTAAGAATTGTTTCTAAAAATGTAATAATTTATCTCGCACATCGATCGGGTATAACATCTAGTTAAACATCATTCTTTGATGTCAGTCTCATCTATGCAATTCAACTAATCAACGTTATTTTTTTCTTGCTTATCCCACAAATAAAGATCAATAGTCATTTTTCATCATCAGTCCCTTAAGAATTTGTGACTTCAAATTTAAGATTTGTATCATGTCTATGGCTGATTTTTGAACCTTAGCATATATAGTTAAGAAGGATACACGAGTCTCTACCAATCATCCACGACCTCTTTGGTTGGGGTCTACCGTACGTTATTTAAATTCTAACGAGCTCATTATGTTACTTTCTCGTTAGGTTATTTTATTTATTTATGATTATTTTCGTTCTAAAAAAAATAGTGTATATAATGAGTTTTATAATTTCTAGGTATAAATCTCCAAATTTGATGGGAATTATATTTTACCACAGAGGTAGTACATCACTCTAGTTACAAGAAGAACGTTTTTAAAGCAACAATTATTAGCAGGGTTTTTTCCCAAAAAAAAATAATTAAAATAAACATGGACAAATTTAAAATTTTCAGAATATTTGTGGACAGAACTATATTCCTCGGATTTCTGAAATCCGAGTTCTGATTAAAATTAAAGATTCAGATTTTGCAAATCCAAGTTTATATTTAATGATAAAATAATAATTACATAAATTTTGTTGAATAATAGTTTTTTAAAAATTCTTAAATGAACAGTGAAGGTCGGATTTGCGAAATCCGACTTTAATTAAAAATTAATAAATCGTGGTGCGAAATTTTTGAATCCAAAAACCGGAAGTCCGTAATCCGATTTTATGAATTCGGATTTTAGTAATCCGGCTGCCTTTAATTTTGGTTGGTGGAAGTAGGCATGTGCCATAAATTGGAGGACCAAAAAATAAATAAAATAATCCTGAATTGACTAAATCCGGATTCATGAAATCCGAAACCAATATAATTCGGATTTCGAAAATCCGAGTTACTTACGGACTCGGATTTCTTAAATCCGAGTTTAACGTGCTATAAAAGAAAAAAAATTTCAGGCAGTTCTCATTTGAGAACTGAGTTGGATTTTCTGTTTTTGCAGCTCAAACAAGGGCGAATTGGAGTTTTTGATGCATTCTTGCCTCTAGATACGTGGAAATCGTTATTTGAAAGAGGTTAGATTGCAAAACCATGTTATTTAGTTTATTTTTGTGTTATTTTGATTGTTAGAATGATGTAGATAGATTAGAGTTTATGTTGGTTGGTTGTTTGGATGTTTTAGGTGTTGATTTTGAGGTTAGAGATGAGAAATCATAGTTGTTCATGAGATATCGAAGTTGATTTATAAGTATTTTAGAATTTTATAGGTTTTTTGAATTATGAATGGAGTATGTATGGTGTATTTGTTGATTTTGTTATTAAGAAATGATTAGTTATTGATATTTTTTTTAACAGTTATCAATGGCATTAAGAAAATCCAACTCAGTTCTCAAATGAGAACTACGTTGGATTTTCTGTTTTTGCAGCTCAAACAAGGGCGAATTGGAGTTTTTGATGCATTCTTGCCTCTAGATACGTGGAAATCGTTATTTGAAAGAGGTTAGATTGCAAAACCATGTTATTTAGTTTAGTTTTGTGTTATTTTGATTGTTAGAATGATGTAGATAGATTAGAGTTTATGTTGGTTGGTTGTTTGAATGTTTTAGGTGTTGATTTTGAGGTTAGAGATGAGAAATCATAGTTGTTCATGAGATATCGAAGTTGATTTATAAGTATTTTAGAATTTTATAGGTTTTTTGAATTATGAATGGAGTATGTATGGTGTATTTGTTGATTTTGTTATTAAGAAATGATTAGTTATTGATGTTTTTTTTAACAGTTATCAATGGCACGTAATGTATCATACATGCTTAATTTGTATCATACAAGTAAGTATGTGATAGAGAACGGTAGCATCAACACTTTTTCGAATATGCCAGATGATGGTTTGTTTGTCGAAAAAAGGTTGTCATATGAGGGATTGATTAGTAAGATTTGTATGACACTTGGTTGGGATCCAGCACATGTGAAACTCCACCTTTCTTTGATTTTCGATAGTTCCGGTGGTAGGCGTGTAGTGAAAATTAAGAATGATTCGCATGTAGAGTTCATGAACCGTGTAGATCCAATGTCATGTTTGGATTTATACATAGATTTGGAAGATATCACTCAAGAAGAAAGAGAAGCGAGTTTGGAAAACGTGTCATTTGGTGGTTTTCCAAGGGGGGGAACATGCTAGTACTTCTCGAAACCGTGATGAAGAGGAGACACCTTTATTTGCACAAGATGACTACCGGGAAGAGTCAGATTCTGACTACATAGCTCCAAGTGAAAGCGAAGAAGACTGTGATGTCTCCGGAGAGAGTGATTTTGAAGAAAGTGATGATGAAAGGTTGGAAAATGAGGAAAGGGATTGTAATCCATTGGCACGACGCCATGTATATAGTAAGATGGGGAACTGGGATGCCTAATGTGTGGACAAGGATGAGTTTGCTCTTAAGATGTGGGATGAGACACCCGAAGGAATGGACATTGGTGTTTGTTTCAAATCTCAATCAGAAGCAAAGCATGCTGTGAAATTATAAAACATCTATCATAAACGGGAATATACGGTCGCCGCGAGTAGTCCAAGGACGTGGACTGTGCGGTGCAGAACATTTAATGTGGAAAGTGAGGATGGTGAACTACCATGTGACTGGAAGATGCGTGTGTCATTGAAAGCTCACGGCCTTCATGAAATTATGAGATGGCATGATGCACATAATTGCATGACTCCCCTGAATGATAATGACAATCGGTGTGTGGACGCGTCTTTGATTGCTAGACTCATCAAGAGAAAGGTTGAGGACAACGTAGATTATACGGTAGCCCCGGCACAGAAAGATGTGAAGACCTTATTGAAAGTAGATGTGCCATACAAAAGGGCGTGGCACGGGAGGAGGAAAGCCATAGAAGCGGTCTATGGTGATTGGACCTCGAATTTCGAAGAACTTCCACGGTAAATATCAACTTTTATCCGTGTATTGAAATATTTTTAGTGTTTTTATTTTTACATGTATTGAAATATTTTAACAATGACTTGTTGTTGTGTAGGTATATCGCTGCGCTTAAGTTTACTAATCCTGAGACTGTAGTAGAGTGGGAATGGAAGGAGGGACAAGAAGGTTGGAACAGGAGAAATAGGACATTTAAATACGTCTTCTGGTCATTTGCACCGGTGGCTGAGACGTTTTTTGAATGTCCACCGGTCATTTGTATCAATGGAACCTTTTTGCGTGGTGGATACAAGGGTAAATTGCTTGTTGCGGTGGTCTATACCGCAAACAAGCACATTTTACCGGTTGCATTTGTGATTATGGATGAGGAGACAGTAGAGAGTTAGACATTTTTTATGAGGAATTTGAGGTTGTACCATCTAATGAAATTCTTTTCGTGCAGTTTCGGTGGCAACCATATCCACATGTCCTTCATAGACTCCCTAATTTCCGTACACAAGGCCAAGCCATTTGGTTGACCAGGTGTTGGATGTTCTGTTGGGCTATTAGGGAACCCCACGAGTCGGGCAGAGTCGTAAGACAATTTGGATACATACAGGATGTTCTCAAGCGCCCCATGATTAAAGATAACAGCATTCCTTCTCGATCACGCCTACAGTATGTCTGGGTATCCTAGCAATAATTGGGTGGACCACCATTCCGCAGTACATCGTCATTGGAATAGGAGAGAAGAGTACGTGCTACGAGATTTGGAGGAAGGAGATCCTGGTTCCGTATATGAGGGGTACTATGAATGGTTCATAGTGAACACTATAGGACTGATATCCAATCCCGGTAATTATGAACCTCAAGGATACGAGACTTCTTCGAGCCGCGTGAAATTATATGTGAGTTCATTCTAGATTTCTTTTATTATTTCTTATGTTTTCATTTTATTTTTTTTCATTTTTATTTTTTTAGAATTTTACTCTCTTAATTAACGTCCCAATTTCTTTTTAGGGTGAAGTATTGAACAACATTCGCGTGAGTACCGAGAGGTTTAGAGAAAAACGAGAAGATGATAATCTCCTAGACGAAGAACTTGACAAGTATTTGGACGATATCATCAATCAAACACATGCTGCTTTAACCTTGGGCGCAAATGATGAGATGGAGGTGTAGGATACCCAAATCCTAGTTGATGAAGATCCATTTTTGCCCTCACAACCTCCGCCGGGTAAAAAAACGAAACCGTTGTCGAGAGATAAGATTGGAGGAGGAAGAAAGAGGAAGGTCACAATCGCCCCTCAGGCATCACAACAACAAACTGAGGGTCAACAAAATGAGGATCAAACACATTCTTCTCCAGGCTCGCGCATCCAGGTCTAGACTCATTTTGAAGACGCTGGTGGACCCGAGACTCAGTTTGACCTTGGTGGACCCGAGACTCAGTTTGGTGGACAGTCGCAACCACAACCGGGAGTCAAATTTCTCACTATGGGGGAGTCCCAATCCCAACCCCAACTCGAGGCTCAGTTTGGTGGACAGTCGCAACCACAACAGAGTTCAATACTCACATATCTTAAGAGGGGAGACAGGATCCGGCAGGGCCTAAACAAATACGCTCCGGATGCGCACAATAAAGGAAAAGGGAAAAAATGAGACATTTGATGTATTTGCACATTTAAAGTAGTTTTTGTATTGATTTTTGTATGAAACTTGATTTGTTTTGTTGTTAATCGAATGCCGTTTATTGTTTTGTTGCCATTAAATTTCTGTTTTCCAATGTTTCATTATTGTTGGTGCTGTAAACAGGTTTAGGACTGGTGAAAACCAGTCCAATTTTTTTTTTCAGTTCTGACAAAGACTCGGATTTGCGAACTCAGACTTTTTGTAAAGGATTCGGATTTCGGAAATCCGAGTCTGTAGCCATCTGAGAGTCCCTATTTTTCAGAAAACAGAGGATATTCGGATTTCGGTAATCCGAGTCTACGTATATTCGGATTACCGTGATCCGTTTTTTCCCAAATTTAATTTTTCAACACATTTTTTTTCTCTATCCAGAAATTAATATTTCATTCAAAAATACGGATTTATAAAATCCAGATTTAGATTAATTACACTAATTTTTGTCATTAACTTAATATCGGATTTACGTAACACAAAGTCGGATTTTTATAATCCGAGTTTATTGGAGTTCGGATTTCCGAAATCCGAGTTTTACCCCCATTCGGATTTCCTAAATCCGGGAGATATAAATTTGTCCACAAAATTTTTGAAAGGTTTATTTTTATCCAGGTATATATAAGAAAATATATTTAAAGAAAAAATTCTTATTAGCATGGAGTAACTATTGTTAAATATGCTGCGTTGAACTTCGGTGCGGGCAGACGACTATACGGACTATATTGAAAAAAGTGGGAAAAAAATGTGTTGAGGTCTAATAAAAAGAGATAGAAACTAAAGAGGCAAAACTGCAAAATTAGAGATTCTTTAATTTTCTCCAGCTACTAACACTTCTCAAATAAAATACTAGAATTTTATCATTGGTTTTGAGGAGACAGATCTGAGGAAGATTTCGTATGAATCAGACGACTCACCTTTTGGGGTGTTTCTTCTTGTTTTTTCACAATTAGATCAATTTTAATAGAGCAATTTATTAATTTATTATTGATAAGTTGTTATTATGGCACTCAGTAGTTTGTTGTTATAGGTTTGGTCGATTAAGGGGATGTCCAATTGGCTGCTCTCTTAGTTTGCTCTGCCTCTAATCAACGCCATGGATTGGACTGATCTTCCTGAAGAACTTTTGGATGCAATTCTGGATAAATTGTTGGATGATATTTTTTACTACGTCCGATTCGGAGCTGTTTGCAAATCGTTTCGATCCGTAGCGCTAAATCAAAATGCCACCATTCCTGGTTTTAGTGAAGGATAAAGACCGGCAAGAAGCGCTCGACGATGACTCCTCCGGCGGCGACGACGATTCGTACAAATATCAGCTTGCGAAACTATACGACATCAAGGAAAATAAAGTGCACAACCATGAATTCGAAGTTCCTTTGAAAACCTAAGGATATTTACTTAATTAGGTTCCTCTCATGGTTGGTTGATCAATATCTGCTATATATTCTACCTATTCAATTCAGCTTTTCAATCCATTCACCGGAAAAAACATCAAAATCCATTCCAGTATTAATAAGCTCCGGCCGATCTTCTATGAAAAGATAGTTTTGTCTTGCGATCCTACAACAAATCCGAATGATTTTGTCCTCGGTGCACTTAATTTGCACTTTTCGACATGATAATAGACTTGCTCTCGGCTTAGGCTTGAGAAAACCAGGCCAACCGTCTTGCGAAAACATCATATTTCCCCATGGTTGAGATTGTACCTGGCGATGATTCCGAACGTCCGTCTTTTTTGGTGGAAGCTTCCGATGGAGGTTTATTATTAGTTGAAAGATTCATTGACGATAAAATCCTTGGAAATGCAATGTCTTTAAACTGGCCAAGAAGAAGAAAACAAGGTACCCAATGTGGTGGTGGCAATGAACAAGAGTTCAATTGGGTCGAAACATTCAAGTTGGAAGTTAGGCAATAATAATTCCATATTTTTCACCGAATACGGTTATCGTGTTACATTCGCATCTTGTGCTCCCAACTTCAACCACCGAAACTGCATATACTTTACCCACAATCGCAGCAGCAGATCAAGTGAAAATGTAAACCGCAAAGATACCGGAATATGTTTCAGATAAACGATCAGACAATCACTACACACTCTGAATTTCAAGGCGACGAAGATTAGTATGTACCTTTGATCTGGCTAACACCGACCTTATGCTGATTCGAATATGAGAGGGTTATGGTGTAAGAATAGACACTTATAACTCAAAAGTTTGATAGTATATAAGAGGGCCAACTTGGAACAGGAGTAAGACTCAAATGCCTGGTTGGCTCCAAGTCTCCAAGGATCCATGTCCAAGAGGGCTGCAACCACCCACAACATTGCATTTATAGGGAAAATATGTTTTTCTTTGTAATAGCATAGCTGAGTCCTAACATATAAGAGTTTTTTTTTTTTTTTTTTAGTTTTAGTTCAATGGATCCGGCTTTTATTTTTGAGAGGAATGAATAAGATTTATTGTGCAGTTGTTTTCATTAGTCTTTCTATATTGTGCTTTGGGATTTCTAAAATCTTGGATATTGGACATATGAATGCTTGGGAAATTACAGCTAGCTAGTGATATCTTTCTATACTTGCCGCCCGGATGGAATGATTACAAGGAAAAGCAGTAAAATCTCATTGTTTTTGGTCTGAGTTGTCCACGTGAAAATGGATGACTTTCTTAGGAATATCTTATTCCCATTTGTCTAGAAGATCTCACCAATAAATTATTTACCAAATCTGATAAACAAGATATCATTTATTTAATACACCAAACTGCTAAGACCAAAAAACAAAAAAAAAAAGGAAAAACAAAAACCCCCGAATTATGTCCAAAAAATAAATTGCTCCCCGATATTTCTTATAAGGACAATGACCCCCTGACTACCGGTTAAAGGACAATTTGCTTCCTGCATTAGCAAATCTTAGTGCGAAAAGACAAAAATGCCTTTAAATCTAAAAAGAATGTTTTTTACAGTAAAACTACCCTCGTTTATTTTTACACAAAAATGACAAATAATAGAATTTATAATTTTTAAAAAATAAACGAGTTGGTTGAAGAGTATGTTTAGTATAAGAAAAAAGATTAATTTATAAATTTAAGGGCATTTTTATCTTTTCACACTAAGATTTGTTAATGTAAGGGGTAAATTGTCCTTTAACCGGCGGTCAGAGGGTTATTGTCCTTATAATAAATGTCAGGGAACAATTTGTCTTTTGGACATAACTCGGGGAGTTTTTATCCTTTTCCCAAAAAAAATCGTCCATATTCATTCACGAAAGTTGACCAAATTAAAGAAAACCAATCCTACAAAACAAAACCATAGTAATTCTGTTCTGTACATCATATCATAGCAAGAAGCCAAAATCCAGTTGTTGAGATGGAGAACATCAGGCACCAAACTCTACCCGTAAGCGGCATAAATTTGCACGTCGCCGAGATCGGAGAAGGCCCGGCGGTGCTGTTTCTACATGGTTTCCCGGAGCTATGGTACTCATGGCGTCACCAGATGGTGTATCTCGCTTCCAAGGGCTACCGGGCTATCGCTCCGGACCTCCGCGGCTACGGCGACAGCGACGCGCCGGCCGGAGCCAGCAACTACACGGCGTTTCATATCGTCGGGGATCTTGTGGCCCTGCTGGACAGCCTCGGCCTGAACAAAGTTTTCTTGGTGGGCCATGACTGGGGTGCCATTATCGCCTGGTACTTTTGCTTGTTCCGGCCCGACCGGATTAAGGCTCTGGTCAACTTCAGCTGTGCTTTTCGCTATTTCGACCCGAAGGATTCCGCGAAGAAGCCGGTGGCTGAAATGAGAGAGATGTTCGGCGACGATTACTACGTTTGCAGGTTTCAGGTATGGGGTCCCACTCCCACCCGTTTTTTGTTTATATTCCTTTTTAATACTCCCTCCCTCTTAAACTTATTGTTCTGTTTGAGTTCACTTTTAATTATATTGGACAATACTTTTGAAACTAAAAGTAATCAATTTAAATTGGATAATAATTTTAAAACAGATAAAGTATTTTAAACTTAAGCAGTATAATAATTTTATCGCGGTTTGCAGATTAGTGATATAAGATAGCATTTTGTTATAGTTTTGTTGTTTGGTAATGGTGGAAATTGTAAGAGAACACAAACATTTGACTCCCATCTTTGAAGAATATAATCAATTTTTCATGGGAAATTTGTCTTTTTCTAGAGGATCAGTTCTTCCATATAAAATTTGTGCACCATGTTCTCTAGAGTGCTTATGTCGAAATTTGAACGTCGACCAAGTCATGTCACTGAGTCGCACTCCCAGTCACCCTTTCTCATACGTCTTTGTGGATATTGTTCACATGTATACAAAGTAAAGTAAGAAAATGACTTTACGAATTGGAATAATTCAAGAAAAATGCGAATAATGGATAATAATTCCGACATTTTTACACTACTCCGCATTTCTGTAATCTTGTGGCAATCATTCACTAAAAGAAGAAAGAAAAAATGGTAGGAAGGCTCTGATGTCTAAACATGATGAACATAAGTTACTATATTATGTGATTTTGTATCATTCCAAGTTGTGACCATAAAAAGAAAAAAAAATTAAAAAACTGCTCCATTCTTGGCTATTCGTATTCTCAAATGATTCATTATTGGTTATTACGGGAAATTTTGGCCTTTAATCTCAAATGTATTGACAATCCATTTTTTCTACTCCCCCACCACCAAATCACCACCACGCCACCACCGACCTTTCTTATTCCTTCACCACTAAACAAAACCAAAAAATCCACCAATCAATTATTACTGTTCCATGAAAAATGTGTTTGTGTTTTCAGGCACCGGGAGAGGTGGAAGAGGAGCTGGCAGGGGTTGATGTTGCAGCTCTTATGAAAGCATTTTTTGTGAGTCGAGAATCAGGAACACTCTGCATTCCTAAAGGCGCGTTTGGTTTCATGGCTCAGGCTGCAGCTCAATCATTGCCCTTCCCAGATTGGCTCACTCAGGACGATGTCGATTACTTTGCTGCCAAACACAGCAAGAATGGCCTCACCGGTGGAATCAACTTCTATCGGGCCATCGATCTGTAAGAACTCCGCACTTCTCCTTAACATTAGTACAGTACCGTACAGCACATTGTTCGGGTTTTGTTATTACAAACACGACAATCATTATGAAACAGAATGAGCCAATTATACCAGTGGAAGTACACTAGTACTACAGCATAGTTACTATTTTTTCTGTTCCGAAATTATTTTCTTGTTTAAGTTTTTAGTACAAATTGAACTAACAGTAAAAATCCAAACTGGACAATAATTTTGAGGCAGAAGAAATAGTAAAATTACAAATTCATGTAATTATTAATGTGTTTCAGGAACTGGGAGCTTTCAGAAGCATGGGTAGAATCGAAGATACAAGTGCCTGTGAGATTTGTGGTGGGTGATCTGGACCTTACCTATCACATGCCTGGAATGCAAGATTACTTACACAATGGCGGATTCAAGAAAGATGTTCCCAATTTGGAAAAAGTGGTTGTTATTGAAGGAGCAGCTCATTTCATTAATCAAGAGAAGCCTGATGTCTGCAACACTCAGATCCATGAGTTCATTTCCAAGTTTTGATCATTTTCTTTACAAGGAATAAGGTTTTCTACCCCGAGCTTCATATTTCGGCCGAGAAAGGTTAAAAAGAAAAAGAACCATTTTGATGTATGAATTTCAAACTGTTACATTTAGAGCATCACAAGACTTCCAAACAGCAGCTTTGTTGGTTTTGTTCCGGGTACGTTTGGGAAACTTTTCATCAATTTAGCCCATATTTCCTTATAAAAGGATGTGATGCCTCCGGTATCTTTTTGCAATGTTGTTGTCAAACAACAATTTAGAAATACAAAGAATACATTATATAATTGTAAAAGTATACTTGAAATTGAGACACAACGTTGTGATACAATTATTCGGAGATGGAATTATTTCCATAGAGTATGTGAAGTCAGAAATGAATTAGGCTGATTTACTGACTAAATCTGTGTGAAGAAAATTAATTCTTCAAAGCTCATATGAGATGGGGCTTAGGCCAAACTTGAAGTCAACAAAGATGGTAACCCAACCTACGTGATCGGAGACTCCATGAAGTAGGTTCATATGGGTAATAACAAGTCGATGTTAGGCTCTGACTGCACTAGTTTATATCATTGTATGATAGTGTTTTAGCTGCTACTATATTGGAGGGATGAGTTTTAAACTTTTAATAATTTCATATTCCTTATAGATGGTGTATTTAAAGCAGTGTAAACTTGATGAATCACTTATATGAGAGTGGAGTGGGGCTGCTCCTATAGGGTTTTATTGGTCGAACTCTTGGACCTCCCATGAACTATCAAGCACGCGCATGACCGAAATAATGCGCATAAAACGCATTGACAACAAGTTGTGGGTTGTAATGTGGTTGGTAGAACCTCTGTCATACAACAAAGAATTTGTGGTTCATAGAAATTATAATTTCACCAACAATTTTGTGTGTCATGTTTATCTACGTTTGGTTCATAGTCCGAAAGACACCAAGCTTATGCATTGTTACCTTATAGATTCAATATTTGTTTTACTAAAAGAATCTTTTGAAATATGTGGGGGATTGTTGACATATTAGTTAATTTATTTCAAAAGATGAAGTTTTTAGGTGTTAACTCGTTTAATGCTTTTTGCCTTAAATCACATATTGCACAACAGATTTGAATGGAGTGTTATCTTTGGTGTAAAATCTGAAAGATGAAGCATGCAGGTTTTGAGTTATTGCACTATGAGATTACTTTGACATTAAAGATTTGTAACAACAAAGTAAAAGTTAGCTTTACGTAAATGCTACCTTTAGATTTTTCTCCTATAAATAGAAGTTTGCAAAAGAAGTCAGATACACTATTCTACAACTTAAAAGCATTCTAAACCATTCTCTTTGAAATCACTTTTCATGAGTAAGTTTCTTTGATTTTCTTTGTTTTTGCTTTCAAATAGTTTAAACAAATATTGGATCTATATAATTGTTAGTTTCTATATTCTCTAAAATTTAAAAGAGGAAGGCTTGTTTTATCTTGGGGGAATATTTCGTTACACCGAAAAAGTTTCTTTAGAACAGTGCAATTTTACACGACTCAAGTATTTTGTTGATATAGCATTATTGGAGCATTCCCCAACAATCTAAAGAAACTAATATTCCAACTAATGCTACATTAACCCATGATGTTATTCTTTCTACTCTAATGATACCTAAATCGTTAGCTCATACTGAGATGAGTAATATTATTTTTCGTGTAGGGGAAAATCTTATAATTGGTGATATGAATTTATTTCATAATAAAAAAGGTAAGAACTATTGTGTTCCAAAGGTAAACCAAATATAGATAAAATGCTATGGCAAATTAAGGTTACTGTATCACTTATTAGTTCCATGCTTGTCTTTAAGTTTTATCAAGCTTTGAAGTTCATTAATTTAATTAATGAAGCATGCGAAATTAATTTCTTTAGAATTAATATTAAATTTATTTAAAAGCATGTGTTATATATTATTCCTTTTCGAGTTAGTAGTCTAACGTAATTATGTATGCATATAAAGCATGACAATTGATATTTTACTGACTTCTAAAATAGCAGCAAGCCATGTTTTAAAATCGAAATGGCCAATATCATGTTTTGCCTTTTGTAAATATTCGGAAAAGGTTTAAAATTTGCAAAAAACAATATGGTTAATATTCATTTTGAAAATATTGAGAATGGAAACAAATTTGATTTTGTGAGTCTTTCTTGAGCATGATATGAAATTTAAACTTATATGTGTTTAATATATACTTGTGATCTGAGACTAGTCATACTGCAATAATTGCATAGTTTAATTTGTTCTATGACTTCTTGTAGATGAATTACTAAATTCATGTTAAAGAAATGAGTACCTATCAATAAGAATAGACATTTATGAAAAGAAAGAACTCACTATTGTATACATAATTGTGTATCTAGAAAAAAAATACGAACTTCATAAGGGGTTGTGGACTTAATTAAAATATTTAAAAGTGGGGGGGTACTATGCTAAACTAATATTGTTTGAATCTAAAAAGAGGGTATTGGTTCAAATACCGATAGTTGCATTTCTATTGGATATGCTAAATATAATAGATTGGTGTTTTGAAAATTGATGATAACATGCTTGATAGTAAAACAATTGTTGAGTTAATGAATGATGATATCTTTAGTCATATTTCTACTATCTGATAAGATTTCTCATTTACATATTAAATTTGATATAGAGAAATCGATTCTATTGAAGAATCGAGAAAGAGTATAACGACAAGAATAGAATTTGACTCTTGAAGTATTTTTCAATTTCTTTATTGACAATGATGTGGCAGCAATTTTTTGAAATTAATTTTTCTTTTAATGTCTTTGATATCCTATAACCTGAGGGGTGTGTTGTTGCATAAAAAAAAATAAGTTTGTGAATTGCTTAAATTTTTATGTGATCTTAATCAAAGTCAATGTTGTGAAATGATAAATTCAACCAAGTCTTATTGAGAGACAAATTTTTGAATGTGGACAAATGTGTTTATCCAAAGTGGTAAGTGGTGATTGTGTGATCATTTGCTTTTGAGTTGGTGATTTGCATATATTGTCTGATCATCTAATTGTGAATAGTACTTATAAATATTTTTGGTCAAATATGATCAAAAATATTTTTGGTCTAATTGTGAATAGTACTAATATTTTTTGTCTAATTTTGATTGGTAAAATCTAAGTGAATCAAATATGATCAAAGTTTTATAAAGCGATAAGGAGGATAATGATTTTACATTGTCACAAAGTTTCTTAAGAAAGTTATGTTGTTTTTGTGACAAATGTAGGTACTCCTTATAATACTAATACTTAATTAAAATAAAGTGTAATGAGTCTATTGCTCAGTTTAAATGTACCCAGATTATTCAGGGTCTGATATGTTTTAAATTTGATATGGCTTATATTGTGAGTAGGCCGCACATGTCAATATAATAATAATTATGAGCATTGGTCTGGAAAAATAGACTAATGAAAATATTTTGGAGGAATCATTAGTTGTGATATCCTGATAATATCAATGAGAGGAACTGAATAATGGTATCCTAATTAATGATATAGTTGAGAGGAACCATTAACAATGGTATCCTATATATTGTGGATTTTCCACTGATCTTGGAGGTATTAGTGATGTTAAATGAATCTTTGATTCAAATGTGACAAAAAACACTAGTGTGTGTTCACCCTTATGAGGGGTGCAATTGCGAGAAAATCAGCCAAGTAAAATATAGTTGCTAGGTCCACTATGGACTCAGAGTTTTGGATCTCTGAAGCTGGGCAAACTATAGCTACTACGTCCACTATGGAGTCAAAATTTATAACTCTGGAGATAGCTGCTTTAGAGGTTGAGGGTTAAGAAACTTTTTAGCCGATATTCCCTTATAAAAGGATGTGATGCCTCCGGTGTCTTTGCAATGTTGTTGTCAAACAACAATTTAGAAATGCAAAGAATACATTATATAATTGTAAAAGTATACCTGAAATTGAGACACAACATTGTGATACAATTATTCGGAGATGGAATTATTTCCATAGAGTATGTGAAGTCAGAAATGAATTAGGTTGATTTACTGATTAAATCTGTGTGAAGAAAATTAATTCTTCAAACCTCATATGAGAAGGGGCTTAGGCCAAACTTGAAGTCAACAAAGATAGTAACCCGACCTATGTGATTGGAGACCCCATGAAGTAGGTTCATATGGGTAATAACAAGTCGATGTTAGGCTCTTATTGCACTAGATTTTATATCATTATGTGATAGTGTTTTAACTGCTACTATATTGGAGGGATGAGTTTTAAACTCTTAATGATTTCATATTCCTTATGGACGGTGTATTTAAAGCAGTGTACACTTGATGAATCACCTATATGAGAGTGGAGTGGGGCTGCTCCTATAGGGTTTTATTGGCCGAACCCTTGGAGCTCTCATGAACTATCAAGCACGCACATGACCAAAATAATGCGCATAAAACGCGTTGACAACAAGTTGTGGGTTGTAATGTGGTTGGTAGAACCTTTGTCATACAACAAAGAATTTTTGGTTCATAGAAATTATAATTTCACCAACAATTTTGTGTGTCATGTTTATCTACGTTTGGTTCATAGTTCGAAAGACACCAAGCTTATGCGTTGCTACCTTATAGATCCAATATTTGTTTTACTAAAAAAATATTTTGAAATATGTGGGGGATTGTTGACATGTTAGTTAATTTATTTCAAAAGATGAAGTTTTTAGGTGTTAACTCATTTAATGCTTTTTGCCTTAAATCACATATGGCACAACAGAGTTGAATGCAGTGTTATCTTTGGTGTAAAATCTGAAAGATGAAGCATGCAGGTTTTGAGTTATTGCACTATGAGATTATTTGGCATTAAAGATTTGTAACAATAAAGTAAAAGTTAGCTTTACTTAAATACTACCTTTAGATTTTTCTCCTATAAATAGAAGTTTGCAAAAGGAGTCAAATACACTATTCTACAACTTAAAAGCCTTCTAAACCATTCTCTTTGAAATCACTCCTCGCAAGTAAATTACTTTGATTTTCTTTGTCTTTGCTTTCAAATAGTTTAAACAAATATTGGATCTATATACTTATTAGTTTATATGCCCTCTAAAACTTAAAAGAGGAATGCTTGTTTTATTTTGGGGGAATATTTCGTTATACTAAAATAATTTCTTTAGGACAGTACAATTTTGCGCGACTCAAATATTTTGTTGATTTAGCATTATTGGAGCATTCCCCAACAGTTCACTCATGTCCAAATCCTCTGACCTTGCTCCACCGGGCATTGCAAAATCAAATTTAAGAATTAAGTTTGCTTCCAACTTAGCTAGCAAGAAACTATTTACAAACTTTTGGGATTTGGGTGGGTTGAATATTTTGCATATGTATTCGACCCGTTCATGAATGAGGATGGTGAGTTTGATGAAAGCCTAATCTATAGGATACAAAGGGAATGCTGATTTTGTGTGAGGCTAGCTAGTTTCCTTTCATTAGAAGGTGAGCACAAGTTAGATAAGGCAAGGGAGTTCACAACTCAACATTTACTCCACAACCATCCTCGTCAAAATGGATCCATGGACGAGTTCCTTAGGGGAACATGCCCTAGAGGTTCCTTTAAGTTGGAGGGTACCCCAGAATAGAGGCCTGGTGGTAGATGCCTACCAAGCAAGCCCTAACATGAACCCTATTCTTCTTGAACTTGTAAAGTTGGACTTCAATATTGTTCAGGTCTTTCATCAACAAGACCTCAAAGGCCTAGCCAGGTTACTTTTTACTTTATCAAACTGTTTTAGTTTTACAAAATCGAAATATTATTTTATCTAACACGGAAGGAGTATATATATCTTTATCACCTAAACCTGAACATTAAATTAATGATTGAGCAGTTTTCTTTCTTTTTTTTTTCCTTTTTTTTTTGTGATGTTAATGATATTATACGTTCTTGGTAATTCAAAGGTGGCGGGAGGACAAAAACATCGGACCCAAGTTGCCATTTGTGAGGTATAGAATTATGGAGAATTTATTCTGG